TTTTTTTTATGAATCTGACTTGATTCGCGTTCTCTCTTTATTCAAAATGCAGTCACTTCGACCAGAAACACTTGACCCACCAATGATTTCCAATTGGATTTTCACTGCGTTCATTTTGTAGACGTTTTGGTACAGAGCAACAGAATCTTTTTTTCTATACGTTCACAGGGACGAGTGCACAAAGCCGTGTGACGCTTTAAAAGCTTTTTCCTATTTGCGCTGAAAAAAAGATCCAAAGCTTCATCTTAGACTGACAACACACATCTGGTGGTTTGCAGAAAATATGACAGCCATTAACGTGTAGAGAGAACGCACACAATACTTTTGAGTTTTCATTTTTAATAGAATATGTGCACCAAAAACTCTACATAAGAATGTAGTGGGTTATTAAAGTGTTGCAATAAACCAGACGCTATCCGTCTCAACTGGCTACAATAAGAAGAAAATCATAACAGGGTTTAGGAAGATGTGCTTGTGCAATGTATTTTGTGGTTGTGGGAACAATGTTTTTTATCTCTAGGCCAATCTCTCACCTCTATATGAAATACTTGACTGGTTCTTTTCTTGTAGCTTTTGGAGAATGTGCCATGGCACGGCAACAAAACTGATCGGCCAAACTCTTTTCCAGTATTTGAGGGTTGTACGACGCTTTGGACATCATCAATCACTTGGAAACGCAATTTGATACGCACCATTTCAAACCAGTCTGTAAAAGTGAAATGATCTCTGGTGCCTTTGCATTTAACGTCCCATTAGTGACAACTTTGGGTTCATTGTTTTGCCCAAAGACACTTCAGCATATGGCCAGGGTGAACCAGGGAACAATCAAGCAACCCGATGACTAATGGATGATGGATGAAGCAGATGTTCTGACTTTTATTCCTTAAAGAGCAAGTTCCAAAAAAAAAGCATTTGAGCAAGAACTCAGTCATGACGTTATTAGACCCTGTCTGTTTGTTTGTAACACTGGCTTTCTGTTGAGAGTTTGCAGCCCATGCAGTCTGTTTTCACACTAATATAATAAAACACATGGTTTAAATTTTAGTGAATATTTATTGAACCAACTCATGCCTGGGGGGTTGTAAGAGTTATTTTATGATGCTTACAAGGCACAAAGTTTAATACTCATATGCTCTGACTGTCGAATATTGTTTGATGCAAAAACATACACATGGGTGGGTGTGAAATGTTGCCTAGCAACAGCTGCTGTAAGAGGAAGAAAACAGGGGAGTTGTGAGAGGAGGGGAATTTCAAAATAATGTCAAATGAGGGGTTCTTTGAATTAACATCACAAACATGAGAAGCTCGAGCTCTAGTTTTTGTCGGGGTAAGAAACATCTGTGCACCTCTGTCACAATGTGATTGCTAATAAAGATGGTATTTTACATGTAGTAATCCACTGTGCATGTGTATATATAGGTAACGTAAAAGTAAAATAGTCACAAATGTAATTTGTGCTAAACTGAGAAATAGGTAAAGTAATCCCTGTGCAATTTGGAAAAGAAATTAGCAAACACTCATTGATTAGTTATTCTGAACTACACTAACAGTGGACAGAACCCATCATTAGCACTTCCCTGCTGGGCTTTAATTGCTGGAAGATTAATGTGGAAACATTTATTTTGGGGGAGTGCTGTGCCACATGTGCAGCAGGGTGAAATGTGAGGTCTTAATATTGACCATTCTGTTTTTGCAGCCACATCCTCCCTGCACAATGCCCAATCTGAGACCACGTATGTTTATCAGTGACTGTGCATTCAGCGTGGCATTGACAAGCACTGCCATAAAAGATTCATTGATGAAGCAACCAGCAGCCCTGCCTGCTCACTTTGAATTTCTTTTGTGAAGCCCCACAATGCCAAGATGCTGGCTGTGTGCTGTCTAATTGTGTTGGTGCAGATATAATGATAGAACACAAGCTACCCAAATTAATTGAGCCTTGCCAGTCACAGCACAAATTATGCGGCGAGTGCTGCAGTGCTCGTTGTGAGGGAGAGTCGCTGCACCAGAGCCAGAGCAGACATTACTGTCACTGGAGGTGCAGATGATGGTGTGATACGGGGCTTGTTGCGTTTAAGGGAGAAAAACCAACAGACAGATCCGTCCTGACTCCTGACGTCTTGTGGGACAGGTGCACAGGACGTAATGTGTGATTCAGGATCGTACATGATGGTTTGTTCTCTCTCTCCTGGGTCACATATTGTTTTTAACTTCACAGCCTGTTGTGCTTAAAAGAATTTCACACAGTCTTCATATGTAACATGTGTGACCCATTTACATTTAATCTGCCCACGGACGTGTGCCTCTGCCGAGCATATTCTCCTGCTGCAGGACTAATAGATTCTTGACACTGAATCACCAAATGACTTGAAAATGATAAACCCGCCACTGCCGCGTTCCACATTATCATTTGCTTTTTGTATGAATCTGAAATATGATAAGAATTAAAAAGCCATAAAAAGAGTGACAACTTGCCCATCAGCCAGTGAAAACTGTTGCAGGGGCACCCGTGCAGTGCGTGATGTTTTACTGCCATCTGTTGCCAATACTTTCAGATGTTTTATGCAATAGTAATATTTTAATCATGATCCTCCCTCATTATTTATTTTCTGCAGGGGACTGTGATGAAGTTCAAATAGGATTTTAAAGATAAACACCTACCATCAGGTTTAACAAATACCTTTGTGTAAAGGTGCCGTGCTGGAAATATTTGCAGGATCCCTTAACATTGCAGGTAATATTTCAGTGTTGATCCACGGGAAAGTTGCAATAATGCACTTGCACTGAATTAGTCTCTCACACACACACACACACACACACACACACAGTCTAAATGGGGATGTTATAGATGACAAATCACTTATGATTAGAGCATTAGCCAGATGAAGAAATGCATAAATGATGATTGAGTAAGTCAAAAATGATCACAGCCATATTGTTGCTTTTGTGTGTTTGGAGAAAATGAAATATTCATATGTTTATGTTTGTTTACCTCAAGTGGGGAATTAGCTGTGAGACCGAGCAGTGAATGGTGCACAGGGAGAAATTGCAACGGCGCTTCATCTGTGCGTTAGGCAAACCGCGGCCTCTTTTTATCTTCTGATTCACTCATATGTTTGTGTAATAGACTCCATTGTGGTTTTGTGTTTATGTGTCTGTGAGATGGTGGTGATGATTCTGTGGGGCTGCTGGGCATATTCTGAGCTATCTAACTACTAGACCAAGTAAAGTAGTCATCCAATAGTCGTCTTTATAAATAATCATCCATGCCTCAGAGCAAGACCAATGTAAATTAGCCTGGTGGAGCATTCAACATGCACATGAGAGTTTATCAGGCAACATCATCCTGTTTGCATAGCGAGGATGCTCTCTGGGTCTCAGAGGGACCGTCTTTTCAGCATTAGCCAGGCAAATAAAAAGTGACGCTACCGAGCACCAAAATATGCCTCAAGCGCTTTCGGCACCGGGGTTCCGTTGCAATATTGTGATGTTTCGCCATTGGTCTGTTTTTGCTGCATAAATACATAAATTGTGATATTGTATCATCCCAGTCTTTTCATTAGGACCCTCTTATACTGAAAAATAAACAATAGGGGTGCTGTAGTTTTCTGAGATCGCTTACTGATCACACACTGTTATGCTAATGTGAGGACACTGACCTCACAAACACAAGCGGACACCCTGAGGCTGGTGATGGTGATGGATGTCTTCCCTGGACATTAGGCTGCATTTCACGTTTGTACTCTTAAATGTGCCTTAATTCATCAGCGTGCGTGTGTGTCTACACAACAGCTCTGGTGATTTCCATACCTGTAATTAGTCTTACCTGAAGTTGTATGTGCGTGTGTGTGATTGCCTCGGGGAGACATCCTGGAAGGCTGTTTCAAATTAGCAGGAGGGCAGTTTACCCTGATTGTTTCCATCTGGCCATTAAAAGAGACATTTGGGAGCTTTTGCTCATCAACAGAGGTGCGATCACAAAGAGCCGATGAATTAATTTTGCGCAATCTGATTTGCAGATAAGCAACATATTGGCTGTGATATGTGTTAAAAGGCAAACAATGAATAAATCTACGGAACAAAGGTGCTTTGTGTAGATTGTTTTTTATGTTTGTGGTGCAACCTTTTGCATAATGTGCTGCCCTGTACAGAAGCGGCTTTTCCACTGTGCATATTCCAGTGTGAAACCGGTGATGAATTGGAGAGAGGGAATCACTTGACTTTGCCAAAGCTGCAATATGACACAAGTAGACCAGCTACTTAACATTATGGCTGCAACATTAATGAGTAGTACAATTGTATATTTCCCCAGAGATGCACAGAGGGTCAAATGATAAAATTGTCTTCCTTCTCATTAGGTTTATAATATATATCCAGTTTGTGCCCTCGTTTTAATCATTAATTAATCCTGAATGACATAATGAGCACTTATAACCATCATCATGTTTTTTTTTGACAGACTTGTTTCCTCATTATTATTATCGTTATGTGAAATAACAATGCACAAAATGTGTTTGAGCTTGATGATGTACATTAAACTGGTTCTGAGTGGTTTTCTCACTCTTTACTTTTTTGTGGATTTAAAGGCAGCACTGTGTGAGCCACATTTCTGCTGAGGAACACAACAACTTAAAGAATATGTCACAGCAGCACTGAGCAGGAACCCATTTCTCTGTATTATAATTTAAAATCCAGCTGTGGATGCCATTCTCTGTTTTTTTGTTTTCTCTCTTGGGTTTCAGCCATAGCTTTGAAACCAAACGCATCATTGCTCCGGACCAAATTCACCGACGCATAAAGTTCCTCATGAAAACATTGTGCAATGTATACGTTGTCATATAGTCAGTTTATAGTACAGTCTCTGTGGTCGCATTAGCGGCTCCATTACTGTGGCTGCCCTGTCTGTCTCTCCATCAGAATATTTTTCATGCTTTGCTGGATTTGTTGTGTTTATCAGATACTGACGCTAACCCTGGCCTCTCTCTGTTCTCCCTCAACAGATACAATCTGCCTGTTGGCAAACAAGGAGGGTCATGTATGATTGGAATAGCTGCAGATAATGGCACAGCTCAGCGTCTCGAGGAGTACGTGTCGCATCCCAAGTCAGAGGTAACCCGACCTGCCTACAGCTAAATCAACCCTTTCTACCGCCATTATCTCCAATTAAAGCACTAAGTAGAGTTTATACTTCCATCAGTGCCCCAGCAGTCCCCTAATGAAACCACATTTAATTTCACTAGATCTGGATTTTTACTCATGAATATCAGTCCGCTATTTATGACCCATGAATAATTTTCTGAGAAATCAAGGAAAATGTCTAAAAAATCTCACAATGTTAAAGAAAGTGGGAAAAACAATCTGGATCCGCCCCCTGATCCGGATCCACACCAAAATTACACAGCAATATAGATCAGTGTTTAGAATCCAGCTAACACGCTACATCTAGTACCAACAAACAACAATATGGTGTTGTTGGCATCGATTATCTTGATTATTGATCTGACAACTTCTGATTTAAAATCTGCCACAACAACAACTGCCTTTATGAAAGGAAACTGAAATATTGTATTGCAATAAAGATAATGTTTTGATATTGGCACTGAATATCCAGTATATCAGAGATGCATTCAATGATACAAGTGAAATAGTGTTGGTTGGTTTATATGAACTAAAAGCTCCCAGCAGCTGCCCGTGAATATACAGCTAAATCATGAATTGTATGATTTTGCCATTTACAGTATTTATTATTAGATGAGATTAGATTCAACTTTATTGTCATTGCACTTGTCACAAGTACAAAGTAACGAAATGCAGTTGCTTTATTATTGCCTTTAATCAAACATAACACTTGTGTCTGCAGCATCATGAGTAGTCTAAGCATTGATCATTAAAGCCACAGCACGGTGCTTTATTAAACTATAACAGCAGTTGCTTTATGAATGAAACACAGGAACTCCCATTAAAATCATGCACCTGTTACTTTATTTGCCGAGCTGACACTGTGCAAGTAGGACTAAGCTAGTTCTCACTTGTTAATCACTGGCTGGTCTTTTCACTCTGGCTCATTAATTTGATTAACAACACCTATATTTGTTAATAAATTAATAATTTTGTTTTTCACTATCAAAGACGCAGAGAAGAGGCTCAACCTTCCCACAGGCTCAACATGCCTCCCCCGCCTTCACTGTGATTTATGGTCTTCTAATTTGAGATGCCAAGTTGTTTCTCCTTTTTTTTTTTCTTCTTGTTGCTATATTTATATCGCGCACTGGTTCGGCTTTACCAGCTTTTATGTCAGACTAATGTATAACCAAGATATGAATGAACAGGCTTTTGTTTAAGGAAGTGTTCAGCGCCAGTTCAATCTAGGTAAATTAGAGCTGGCATGCAACAGTTGGGCTTTGGCTTCATTTCATTAAAATAATATGCAGTAGGAGAAGCTCACACATGTTGGAGTGGAGCAATAAAAGGAGCTAGAACAGATTGTGAAGCCCTCTGAGGCACATTTGTGATTTTCAACCATATGAACAGACTCTGCACTGTGACGAGTCCCACTAATAGATCCAGAAATCTCTGTCTGTGTCACTGTCCGTTGGTTTTCTCGACAACCGCTCATCTAATCGTCCTCAAACTTGGTCGGTGCAGTGTCGCTGAAGTGTTCCGGACGAGCTGTTGTTGACAGCCGTACCCCGACCCTCAGCCTCCATTTATTTCAAACTGCACTTTCTGTGCACAACTGTAGCATCATCAATGATGCTTTGTGAGTTGATATATTGAAGCCACTTCCCTCGTTTGGCTGATTCTTTTTTTTTTCCTCCTCCAATGAGGTTGTGTTTTCTGGTTGTTTGGGTTATTTGTCAGCAGGATTATGAAAAGATTACTGAAGTAATATGTACATAACTCAGTGGAAGGATAGGACAAGGGCCAAGAAAGACACCATTCGGATCTGAACAAAGGGGAAGAATCTGGAATTGTTTTCTCTTCAACACTGGGTTTGATAATGAAGGCCTTTGCAATGATATGCGCTCAACTCAGTGCCATTCTGGTGTTTTTTGTGCCAGAAACCAACAACACAACATGTACTAGTATGTAATGACTGACTGCATGGTCACGAAAACTAGTTATATGTATTATTGTTGGTCATTTAAGCAGTTCAGCCTCCTAGATTCCATCTCTAGTTTGACCAGTCATGTTTGGGCAGGTTTTGGTTGCCCTCTGCTCTCCAACAGTCTGTGTGGAGAGCAGAAGGTAAATCGAGATTAGACTAAATGTCATCTAAAACACCTACACCTACAGTTTTTGTGTTTTGTGTGTTAAAAACCGTTGATTTGTGTAAAAAAAGAACCAGTTGGACTCTAGACGCTTTATGGCCAACAGTCTTGGCATGAATATCCCCTGTCTAACCCTGCCTCCGATTTGGCTGTAGCCCCTACAGAGGCTAATTTGCCATCGGACCATATCCAACGGGCTCCAAGATTGAATATGATCTCATCTTCTCTAATGATACACGAGGAGATTATGCAGACGTGTAACAATTGAGAGAAGAAAACGCAGCTTATGGCTTTTGTGAACTCTCCAACTCATGAATATTACATCAGTGGTTCTTTCAAATGGACCATTCTTGTAAACATGGTAAACACACTTGAAGCCATCATCCAGTCGTTCTGTTTCAGTCCATTGTCCTCATGCAGCTCAAGTGGCTCATCGCTGGCTTTATCACATAAAATACAGCTCATTAAAAAAAAAAACGTTTCCAGCTACAGCCTGCTTATTTCATTTTAAAGCTTCAGCTATGCATGTATGTTAGGATACTTAAGAGCTCTTAGCTTTGTGGTGACATGACATATGCGTGTTCCTCTGTAGCCCTTCACCCGTGTCTACTTTGAAATATGCAGTGATGTTATGTCATTTAAAGATCGCATTGTGCCAGCATCTCAAACGATCATGGGGTCTGACACCTCGCTGTCCTGCCACCGAGCACTTCCACTGTAGCTGTCTCACACCTTTTCCTCCAGCGCCGGTGTGATGAATGTTACATCAGAAGGATGTCAGAGTCATATGAATTCCCATGTGATTTCATAATGTCTGGTATGAAATGGAAAATGTCAAGATTGAATGTAATTTGACGTGTTCGCATTGTCATTGCATACAGCATCCACATTATTATGGATTGAAGTAGCTTTACATCTGAACCTGGGATTGCTCTGCAGAGAAATCAGAAAAATATTTGTAATGTATGATAAACTGCAATATCTAAAGGGACGACCATAAGCAATATAAGTATTTATGCTTCAAACTGAAAATCCCTGGGGTGGTTCAATTTGAAATCCACTGTCACCATGTTATATAATTTTATTTTATTTTATGCAGCTCTACTTTGGTCGCACACACAATTATGCCTCACTTGTTAAATTGACCGTTATGGTAGGGTAGGATAAGTTCACAGAATTTATCTATATTAATTCTACCCAATTACCTTTCACATCAAAGAAAGCTTGCAGCAGTTTTTTCCATATTTTACCTCTTTCTCATTGTATTAGGATGTGTATTATTATATGGGAAAAAAAGTCTAGGTTAGGCTAAAACCACATTAAGCTGGAAAGCAACAGTAACCGATAGTGTTAATCATTATTCGTCATTTTAATATACAATATGCTAATGTAATAATAATGTTAATATACTCACACACGCTGATATTGCAGTCCTGTTTTCATCGAAGGGGGATTCAGTGTGATTTAGTAAACGATAACACTTATCACTGACTTCCTAATGTTTTCTTTTTATGTTTGTGTGTGTTTTTTTTTTTTTTCAGGGAACCTTTGGACCCATATTTCTTGGAGATGTCTCGTCCCACTGGGAGATGCATGACAGGAGTGCGAAAGGGGCAAGGAGATTCATCGGCTGCATCAGGGAACTTCAGGTCAACGCAAAGGAGATTTACCTGGTGGGCGAGGCAGTGAGAGGGAGAAACATCAAAAACTGCGACCCGCCTGTCTGCCAACATCTTCCCTGTCGTAATGGAGGAACTTGTGTCAGGTATCAGGACACCTTTTACTTTAATTAAACATTACTTAACTCCCTTTGAGCTTGAAACCCACCAAGAATATAAACATCCCCAATCTGCCTTTTGATCATTTCTTCAAATTTTGACCAGTTGTTGCTTGGAATTGAAGATTAATTAATAAGATGTCAAAGGTCATGAGGACCTAATGAGCCTGGGAAAATAAAAAAATTTGACTGAAACTCCACTGGTTGACAGAGGCATAAAATCACAGTGTGGTATTTCTAGTTTCATTCTGTACCATTTGTACATAGCACACAAATAATGACCCTTACGGATGTGTCAGTTAAAAGAAAAGACTGTTTACTGTATGCATATGTTTGTATAGCTCTTCGTTAGACCTGTTTCCTTGTACCAATGTGACTTAGTATGAAGCAGGACCATCAGAGTCACACAGTATCCCTTGAAGTAATATATATTTCAATTCAAATTGTTTTCCCACACTCACTATCCCAGTTAGCCAGCTAGTGAGATGACAGTCTTGGCAACAGCTTCTCCTCATGGCACCAACCATCTCTTACTGCGGAGCTGTTCAGTTGTCAAGATAATCTCATCTCCATTGGACTAATTTGAGTGTGGGCTAACTGTGAAATACTGGACCAGAACAGATATCAGCAGAAAATCTATATAATTTTACTGTTCCAAAAAGTGGAATTTTTTCACACTATTCTAAAATTCTTTGTGTTGTCTTCTTGGCATGATGATGTTTTTCATTATGCATAATTCAAGTGTTGGTGGTGAAGTCTGGAAAATGTTACATGCCAAATATTTTTCAAACAGGCTGATAAAGGCTGCAGCTTTGGAAGTTGATCATTTTTTCAGTGTTGTTTAAATTCTCAGACAGTTTGTGACACGATGCCAAAGAAATGTGCCACACAAAATAAACGTCCATGCGAAAAGGAAACTGTCAACTGGCTTCAGTGGGATGGTGCCTGTTTTCTACAGTACAGCAACAAGCTGGGAGGAGTCAGCAGAAGAGGGTCCAGTTAGTTTCTCAACATCCACTTGCTCAATTCAACATTTGCAAAATTGGTTGTTTATCAGGCCAAATAAACTTGGTGTAAAACACAAATTGAACCAATTTGCCAAATCAGTGTTTACACAAGAGGAATTAAATGTAGATGTAAAATTAATTATCACATGAAGCCAAATATCTTGGATATCAACATTGCCATCTTTCGCCAAGGAAATCAAGAGCCAGAGTCTGTGCAGTAGCGATTGGGGATGGAGCCATGGTAGCAAGACTCTGGACCAATCACGTCATAGTCTCAGTAGGTTTGACCTAATTTCTATTGCATCAAATAACATAACACAAAATAACAAATCAAAACCAAACTTACCAAAATAAATTACACTTGAACATACATCAGTGTAATTAGAACCAAAATAAAACAAATATTTGATATTTACTTTGATTTTTCAGAGAATAATTAAAGGATCTTAATGAAAAAAAAGTAATTTATGAGTGTGTGCAATTAGGTGCAGAGCCAAATAAAAATCTGGATGTAGTGAAATTAAATGTGGATTCGTAAGGCGACTCTTGGGCCTTGACCCAGGTACCACTACTAAAAAAGAAAAAGGCAGATTATTGATATAATACGCAAAATGCTGAAGGGGTAAGAAAGTCATGTCCTGTTCCTTCCTTCAGCACTTTGATTGCACAGTGAAGCTAATCCCTGGACCAAAGTTAGTCCCTTGTGCTCGGCCAAATAGGTGAAGATCCCTCCGTCCTTCATCTGTACTTGGTGCAGCTCATCACACTGCCATCACACCCCACTTACCAGCAACTTTGGCTTTCTATTTTAAGGCTGCATTAGCTACATGTTGTACTCTTTCACCTTAGGTAATACAGAAAATAGAAGCCCTAAATGGCTTCTTCATTGTGTAATGACACTATCAATTAACAGTTACATTTATTAAACAGGAAATGAAAAAGGGCACCGTGAATATTGGAATATGAACGGCTCTGAGAATACCAATTAAAAGCCGGTGGCCTCGTGGTCACATTGGCTTGTCATGTGTGAAAGAGAGGGCCTTGCAATTATCTGTGTGATGAATATGCGTTAATGCGGTATCATCTTGAACCTCACAGCACACCGGGGTCACCGGGAGTTCACAGAGCTCTGTTCATTCTGCTTGTCTCCCTGAATTGCGTTGCCATAATATAATATGATGAATAAGGCTTTTGATTGGGAGTACAGTTGGGGTGATTTCGGCACTGTCCCCTTTTTCATGTGGGTTTCAGTTTACTTGGGATTGTAGAAATGTCATTTTTAGACCAGAGCGGGTTGTGGCTGGTGAATGACACATACAGTACATATTAGTTATTCAGGCGACATCAATAGCCAGGCAATCATCAGGAAAGGGGGTCGTGGCCGTTTTGTTCCTCTGTGCCAGCTCTGTGATGCCAGATATCGCTGTCTGTTATGAACCTCAGCTGCAGGTTTCACCAACCATGTCATTAGACGAATTGTAAATATAGCCGATGGAAATGTTAAAGCAGAAATTGTTTCCAAGAGGCGCACAGAGATTCAATAATACTCTGCAGTCGCTCTGGAACAAACAAGACCACTAGGGTAAAAAAAGAGAAGAATGCTTAATCAGAGGAAAAATGTGACCACCTGCATTTATACAATCAGACGGTCCCTGTAGTTATGAAACGCAACGTCTCATCATGTTCTGATTAGACAATTAGATAAATACATAACTATGCAGTCCCTCTCATGTAAGCTACGTACAGCAGCACACATGTAGTTTGGGCCAGTTGTGGTGGGGGGGTGCAGTATAGGGACTCTTGCACCTGGATCTCCTGGTCCGTGACTGTGAATCTCCTGCTGGTGCTGATGGCGTCGCTTAAATCACTCCTATGTCTGGCACTGATGCTTTTGTGCGAACAGATGGCAGCTTCCTGTGCAGGGTTATGATTTTAGACCATATGTATATTTCTTTGTCTACATTATATTATATTACTCTAAGCATTAAACATATTAGACATACTTGTGTTTTGAGGATGACATTAGCAATAAGACAAGGAGAAGTTTACTATGTCTAATGTGTATTTTAGTCACATTTTTAATTAGAGAGAAAATGCATTTCCCTCTTTTTTTAATGTTTGTCTATTTACTGGAATGCTTTATGTAATTTTGATGTTAATTACTGCACCACTAGTCTGACACATAACCTCCAGTAAAACAACTAATGTGTTGTCTTTACTCTTTTTTTGTACAGATTAAACACACAAAATGTGAAGCTGTAATTAGTGAAGTTTGGAAGTGCTGACAGGTTGATACTGACTTTACACCTTATTGTTTTTAGAGCTTTTTTTTTTAGCTGAAAACACACTCCACAGTCTGATAGTAATCATCATTAAAACATTTCACAAAAATGTATGTTTCAACGTTCAAGGTTGACTTACTTGTCCAAACCAAGGTTCACATCCGTGCACTGTATATAAAGATGGACGACGCATCCTCACTTAACACCACTATCCAGAAATGAGGCGAAAATATCCTAGAAACAAATCTTGTACTGTTGACACCAGAGTCTGTCAATCATGATGCTTCTTCCTGTTTTTACCACATCAAATGACTGGTCCACTCCCCTTCACTGACATGGACGAGGTGGGATTTATGACCTATACTGCTGCCAGCCACCAGGTGGCGATCAAGACATTTTGGCTCCACTTTTGGGGAGCTGTCTTGTTTTCCATCTTTATTTCCATTCTTTAAGACAATGTTGATTGTTTCAACAACACACCTAAAACATAGAGCTAACACGGAAAAGAACGCCATGCTAATGCTTATGCCTTATTATATAAATACTTAAAAACACTGATGATAGCTGCTTTAATGTTTAATGTGCATCGCAATGTGACCACAAAGAAAACACATTGACACACAGATCACATGAAAACATCCACATTTGTTACCACACACACTTATACGCACATACTCACACACACAAAGCAGAACTCATGCACTCAGAATTACTTCTTGCTAATTGGCTGCAGCAGAGTGGACGTCTCGTTTCTTCTGTGGTGGTCCGGCTGCGGTGCCACACAAAACTCCACTTAACAATAAATTCTCCCGATGCTCCGTTTCACTGCCTGCAAGTTGTGGAACCAATCTCATCTTAATCAGGGTTCGAGCTATACTTATTTCAAAGTACCTATAAAATAACTCAAGGTCCAAGATACAATTATTTTAATTCACCCCGAGAAAACAAACACTGCTATCATTCTACTGTGGTCCCTGAAGAATATTTCCAGAGAAAACTTGCTCATTAGAGTTTATTGTACTCGTGTCTTTAGATTTTGGAGGACATCTGCTTTCAAAACAACAGTGCATGGACAATTTCTTTTTCTTTACACGAGTTTCAGTGTAACCTTGACATAGTTAAAAGTAACAATAGTAGTTACACAATTATTATAATAACTTGGGGACAAGTGGCAGATAACACAAAGTCAAAGTGAGCTAGAACATACTTATATACTGATAAGAAAAATGCTATTGTAAATTTTATTTGAATTTCTAAGCTTTAAAACAGCAGCATTGGTTACAGTTGTCGGAGCGGAACTCTGCACTGTGATTGTATCAGAGGTTGTTGTTCTGGTTACTAGCTTCAAAAGACGAGGCCTTGGAAATAGCACATTTAATTTCTTATTTTAAAAAAAAGATGTGAATGGTGGGTTTCTGAACACAGTTGCCTGGTTTATTTAACTGCTGTATTTGTGATAACAAATCTGTAATAATGTCTCAAATTGTATTAATAGGCAAAACATTATAATGTTGTGTTCTCAGTAAATCATATAGTTATTATAGAAATGTGTAAGACTCTCCAATGGTAATTATAGGTTATCAAATAACACACGGTTTGTAGAAATCAAATATTTACTTTCTCAGTACGTCGGTTCCCAAATTAGCGAAAGGGGCAAAATAATTATTCTGTGATCACGAGGAGACAAAACATAAAAGTAATTACACCAGACCCAGTCATCTGTGGTGGTGTGTCAAAGGTTTGGAGATAACTGAATAAACGTGTATAGTGTGTTTGTGTGTGTGTGGGGGGGGTATTTATGTGTGTGCACGCATAAGAACACATTATCAGCAGGTGGCTTTTGTGGAAACATTGTGATCTCCAGTTGAAGGTATCTGTTCTCCACAGTCTCTCTCGACCAGTCTCCATGAAAACATCCTATTATCCTATTCCTTATTGTCTTCATCCAGCAGGAGCCAGTTCTCCGTGCGTCTGTTTCCTTCTGTCAGACTTCTTTTCTCCGTCTCTCATCCCTTTATCATGTCAGATCTAGTTAGAGCATGTTTTTGTTTCTACGTCTCCGTTGTATTTTTATGTCCTGTTTCAGTTTTAGTTACAAAAAAAATCCAGCTCAACATTGTGTCATGTTTTTTCTTTGCAAATTCTACCTCATTTGGCGCGATAACGATCTTTGTTGACGCAAAGCTGCTGCTCCTCCACTTAATCCGCAAGCTGTGATGTAGCAGAAACACTGCTGATCTCATGATGTGTTGCTGATGTGTCAGGAAGCGAGTCAAACACGGATACCGCTGCATCACCGCATGTGGACTAAGTGGGGTAGCAGTTGTTCTGTGGTTGTAAGAAACAAATAGGTAAGAAAATGTCACCCTTCGAGGAGTCGGACAAGCAAATCAATGTATTTCCTTCTAAATTCATCAAGTGAAGAAATTTTGAATCAGGGTTACACAACTTTATTTCTCAGACATGATGAGGTATTTTTCTTTGTTTCAGCCAGTATCAGGAGAAAAAAAAGAATATATATATATAAAAGTACAGTTGAACATGTGCACATACTTTAAAGTGTTTCAGAAGAGCAAAGCTTGCTGCAGAGTGCAGTGTGTTCCAGGTTGGACCGTAGAAATATTATCTGATCCCTTGAGAAAACTTTCCTCATGCCTCCTCTCTGTAAGGATTTTATTTCAAGTGTCATCTTAAGTATGCTTTTTTATGACAGCGCGTTTCAAAAGACCCTGTGAAGGAGACTTAACAGACATCGCCCTTCCTCACTGCTGAGGAAAATGTTTGCGAGGGTGCCTGCAAGAGGTCAGGAGAAATATCGAACAGCTGTCTGCTCAAACAGGTGCTTGAGCATGTCAGGTAAATTCCACTTCATCCCTTTGATCAAATTAAAATTCAAATGACAAATAATTGAGTTGAGGAACAAGTCGTCTCACGGAATGTATTTTCCCTCCCACCGACCAAGAATCTAATTATCGAATCATGTCCAATTGGCTGTTTACAATGCTGGAAAGCATTACCAAGGCAGATCCTCTATAAATAATATCTCTTAAACCCAGTGGTCCTTTTTTGTTTTAACAAAGGATGAAGTGCACTAAATTCTCTCAGAGAACTGAAGACTGCCATGGCAACAGAGCCTCATCAGTGGCTTTCTGTTCAAGTGTATTTGCATACCAACAAGCACTTGAATTAAAATGTCCTGCAAATAACTTACAAGGGATGAAATTTGAGCGATGCGTGTGGCCACACAGCTTATTGTTCGGCTGACAGGGATATCATAAGCTATCCGATCAATTATTCATGATATATCTGGTACTCATTAGATTAAAAATGTAGTTCCCCTCAATAATTCATCCAGCGCATGATGTGATGTGCTGTTCTAGCGCCTCAGCCTTTAAATGGCGTGAGATATGGCGAGTATCAACTTTATGCATTTGTAATTAACATATTCCGATTAGTCTGCAAACATTACTACAATTTAGTAATCAAAGAGATTGCCTCTGGAAAATGAAAATAACCTTTTGTCACCCCACACATCAAGTTTTTGATTAAGCCAATCAAAGCTCAAGTATTTTATCCACTGTGCGTCTTCCCCTCGTCTATTCACGCTCACCTTTTACTGAGCCACAAATATCACCTACCTGTTTGAAGCTGGGCATTTTTACTCATTTATCTACAATTACTTGTGCGTCAGTTCTCTAACTTGGCACCACTTTTTAAGTCATAAAAAGTTGCCCAACAGTGATGTAAGGAGATATAAGTGTTTATTGATGTGCTTGTTTGCAACTACAACACTCCTGCTGTGGATAAGTGGAGGCTGGTATATGAACTGATGATGAATAACACAGTGTGACAATACTGTGTATTAATGCAATGATAATAAGAAACATTCAAAATCTGCTCAGAATTACAACATAGTGAGTAATAAATCATTTATTATTACCTCATTACCTCCTAAAACGTTATGTATTTGTTTTGTTTGTTTGTTAGTATGCAGAACTACTGGACGGATTAGCACAACAAAGGATGCAATATGGGTACGGACTGAAGCCATTGAATGTTGGTGCAGATTCAAATAAATTGGACTTGTTTCACTTTCTCTGCAGTGTTTCCCACAGAATTGATTCAGTCTATGGCAGTAGAGGGGGTGCATGTGCACACACATAAACGTTGCTCTCTTTTTATTTATATCTGTATTGTATGTAAAACACTTTGAGAGGCATATCTTGTATGAGAGGTGCTATACAAATTGAATTAAGTATTAGTATTAGTTGACAATGTCAAAGAAAGGGATGAAAAATTCCTGTATCTGCCCCAAAGGTTTATGGGTTCTTTCTTGGCCCTGTCATAATGTCCTTTGCGGAAACAATGAGACATTAAGTGGAATTAAATATTACCATTAACTTTATGCCTCTGAGGAGAAAAGTTTATTCTACAAGGATGCCCTTTGTATCTCTTGCAATTGCAAACACATGTCAGGTAAACCCTCACACCGTACTGATCCTTGTATGTGCGGTTAATTATTGGCTGGTTCCAACACATCTGAAGAGAATTGTTGTTTACCCAGTGCAGGAAGTGAATAGTTTCAGGGTCAAGACTGTTGCATTGTATTGTACTGTTTGTGATTTTCTTCGTATAATGAGCTATTTGCTGTGTCTCTGTTTGACAGAACCCACGTTACCCTTGCTGTACTTCAAATGAAATGTCATGCACGACACAAATAGATAAATCCTCACCGAACCACAACTAGCAGATTTGTAGACATGTGAAAAGTATCTATACTCATATTTAACATCATCTCAAAGAGTTTACTGCTGCTCGAGGAAACTATTTTGTGTATCCTTCCATCCATTTATCAATTTTCTATACCCACTTATCCTGTGCAGGAACGTGGAGCGCCGCAGCCACGGATAACTAGACAGCAGCCTCTCACAACCAAGACACATTCACACTCGTGCCGAAAGATATATTCACACTTACATTCACATGAATATGCAATTTAAGGTGTCTACTTCATCTTACCTGCTTTTTTTTGTGCAGGAAACTGAGCCATAATCCAAGATGTGTGTGTCACCCCCACATTTAAAAACCAAACAGTGAACAACAATTTAGCAGCATTGAAAACAAAGAAACATGGAAACTTCACCAGGAGTCGCTCCATTAAGCGAGTTGTCCTCTGAGTTGTCAAAGATTATACAGTTGACATCAGTTCTGTTGAGTGCATGAAAACTGATCCATGACGGTTATTTTGACAACAATGGTCACAGTTGGCAGTATCATTGTGTAGCTTATGTAGTAAAACATCTTGAAATTGACATTAGCATACAATTGACATGTTCTACTGCATCATAAAGCATTGCTTTTGTACCTAAATACATCCATGTCTAACAATGTTCAGCTCTAGTGACAGAATGTAAATATTTCATTCTGAGAAGGCAGTTTTTCAAGGAGCAAAATAACATCCTCCAGTGCTGCTGCTCAAAACACATTATTAATTTATGGATTTGAAACCCCACCAATGATTCCTCTATCTGATATTATACCTTTCAAAGTTACACACATCTTAGAGCATTTTATAAAGTCCCGGTCTCGCATAATTCTTTGCATGCTAGATCACCCTCCTCCTCTTGCCAGGAGAGCAGCCACATGTTTATGAATAGAGGCAGAGAAAATCTTGTAAGATTTCTGGTTATAAGTTTTCTGACTGCGTTACTAATCATCTGCCTTCTTCTGTTATTTTTCAGGGGGCCTGTGTTTACCTCTAGCAAAAAGATGTGAAGTCGCTTCTGCCTCTGCCGCAAGCGACTAAGATGAATAACTATAGATTCTTGTTTTTCTCGCCACTTTCTGCACATTCATTCAAATGCTTGGGTTTCAGCAGATCTCGTATATCACAGGTTTTCCATCACGTTTACTCGTTACAAGATTTCAGCTCTTGTGCATTGTGGGGCTGCTTATTCTACCCTCACTGCTCTCCGTGTGTGTTCAGCAGGCCGCTGTGCGAGCTTGTAAAGCATCTGGACATGTTGATATAATGTCATGGTCCATTTTCACCTCTGGCTCTAATTATGCCTCCCTCCATGTCTGTGCGTTTAGCGATGCCGAGGACTGGTTCTGCGAGTGCCCGCCGCTGTACACGGGCAGGCTGTGCCAGTTCGATGCCTGCGAGCGCAACCCCTGCGGTCACGGAGCCACATGCATCCCAAAGTCACCGTTGGAGGTCGTGTGTCTCTGCCCCTACGGAAGACAAGGTCTACTGTGTGATGAATGTAAGTGTTACAAAGAAAAGCTCCTGCACAGACGATTGCAGCGTAGATTTAGCAGCTTAAGAGAGGGGGATCTACAAACTGTTCGTGAACAAGAGCCTCGAGCAGTTGGTAGAGTGAGAGTCTGTTGTCAAGTTAAAGGATTAATGAAACTAAATTCTGCTGAAAAGGCAGAAACATCTTCCTCCAGCAACAGTTTTAATAATCCAAGCAAAACTCATGGCTGCAGCGCTTATTATTCCAAAATACTCTTTTAAGCTCTGATTACCAAACACCTGTAATTTTAGCATTGTGTGGCACAGTTATTTTTTTCTAAAAATGCTTCTGCTGTACCTGAGCAGGATGTGGATGTGATTTCACATTAAATGTCAACATTAATTAGCTATATATCTTTATAAGACAATACATGGAACATAAACGATCTCTCTATATCTATCACACAACTCCACAGCTATAACAAAAGATTTGATCAAGGGTCACGAAATGCTGACTGACTAATCGAAGGCGTATCTGAGCCAAGTCATTGAATATTTATAATTACAAGCAGCAGTTGTTGAACTGGCTAACAGAATACATAAACCTTTGAAAATACTATAGCATGAAATTCTGTCCCTATATTCGTGGTCCCCAGAAGATGATGAAGATTCCCTCTGCCATCAAAATTCTCCCATTCTCCCAATATGTTTGTTTATGACCTAATACTGTGCTTTGTGTTAAGTCTTAATTTTCAAATCTTAACATGCTGACAGTAAATCAATCATGATGTTTCATCATGAAGTTTTTAAAGCATCAAAAACGAATTAAAACTTACAGAACAAACATGGACAGAAACAAGTGTGATAAGAATTAGTTAATGTCAACTTTGATACATGTCCCATCTGCTAACATGGAGGAGGGAGGGTTTTTTTCAGATCTATACTGCATCCAGTCACCAGGGGGCAATCAAGAGACAGAGCTGCTATCATTACTGTCTTGAAAAGGTCCCAAAAAGCTAACAAATGACGATATTAATGAAAATACTTGTTTAGAACGAATAAGAATATCTACCCAACAGAGAAATGATTTGGGGCTTCACATGCTGCCGTTCTCAGAAACAAAGTGTCTTGCTTGACTAAACTGACTGGAGGAGCAGCAGGGTGCTTGGCATATAAGTCATTCAGCCATGCCACAGCCCCTGTCAGACTCTCAGCACCCGTTCACCACACAGAGTAATCCAACCTTCCGGTGTCACACCAAGTTTACTGCTGGTGTTTGAATTTTTATCCTGATATCGTCAGATAAGATCAAAGGGAAAAGTGACAACTCCTAAAGTCTCTCTGCCTCTCTGCTTTTTTGTTTTTTTAACTTTTCCTCACGTGTTAGCAAAATACTCAGACAGTATATTTTTTTCTCTGCACACAACATGAAACAGTGATATTTCTTTCTATATACAATATTTTCAGTTCATGGTTCCCATGTGCATTTTAATAGATAAGGATTGTCAGTGAACAAGCAGGAAAAGGAAGGCTAGGAAGTGGTATTGATGCCTCAAGAGTTCAGGGCATGAAACATTAATGGATATTTAGGTTAACTTCACTCAGAATTATTAATGGTCTACCTCTGTACACAAGTTACCCTTACTACCTCCTACAGATTTATATATACGGCTGAAAACAATATACTGCGTATGAAATGTACAGTTATACTGGCACAGCACTACCACTTGCTTATGTGATTATCATTTTAATTCCAAATGATGTCAGGTCTGAGAGCACAAAGCAAGAAAAAATGATGCAAGCCGCATAATAAACACACAAGCAGCTCAGTGCACAGTTATGTAATGCAATCTTGTTTAGTACATTATATTTTCAGATATCTCTTACAGAGTCCATTCAACGGATTTTAATGCTCATGCTTAAACACAGCGCAGCACTATTCTGCATCAGCATATCAGTTTAGTATTGATTTAGTGGAATTTCTTTTAACCTTGTTCCAAGACGGGGGGAAAAGAATAGAGTAGCAACGTACACTATGATGCATCTCTAATGCAGGAGATGTGATGTTTCCCCCAGCTGCTCCGTGGCAGCTTAGATGTGGCACACTATATACATGCAGTTTTTGGCAGAATGCGTTTCGCAATCTGGTGCCACACGTCATTCTGTTTTTCCCCCCGCCGCACCGATAACTTTACAGCATATTACACAAATGCCCAGCAGAGTAGAAACACTGTGAAGTATTATTTCACCGAGTATGTTAAAATCCATGGATGCATTTCACAGAGGCAGCCCAACAAGCGCGTTTGTTACTGTATTTGAAAATAGTTGCACATGTGTTACTAACAGAAACAAGTACGAGTACGAAAACATGCATGTATTGTTACATCTGTACACCATTATGAGAATAGAGCCGGTCTCATTCCACAGATTCTCCCTTCTCTCTCTTCACAGTGCCCAAGGTCAGGTTATAGATAAAGGGCCAACCAACAGTACATTGTAGTCTCTACGCTCTTGGACTGTCATATCTAATTCAGATGCCTCAGACAGAGAGGTACCAACTTCATCTCTTTTGCATATCTCACCAGTGGCAAGACCTAAGGACACAATGTGATTTGTGTATGCATACTTTAGGCTTAACTATCCAATAGGGTGTGAACAACTTCATGTAATGTAGAGAGTGACAGCAATTCTTGCCATTTGTGGATGTGCTGTAAGAATGGGGGACGCCAGTAGAGGAAGATATATGGGAAGGCTGTGTGAGACATCTTGAGAATTTCTCATGTTACTCTGTTAGCATTTGTGTATTGTTGCACCTTCTGGTTTCCTTGTTGCATCAAGTCCACAAAATCTTCTGCATAAGACTTTAGCTGCTGACTGAGTTCTCCTATCATCAGCTTCCAGGAAACTTCCATCACATGTATAGCTGTATGATGACTGCTGATGCAACATGCACAGAGGTTGTTCAAATAGTGGTTGAATGTGCAAACAAATTATAAATTATTATAAATTTACCATGTGACATACTGTATATCCAATCTCCTCATACGTCCTTTCAGTTATTGATTGTTAAATCAACTCGGCTCAAGGTTAAGCCTGCCTGCAGGATAATTTCCCAAAATATGGAGCTTTAAAGTTTTATTATCCATATGTCGGCATGGGCACTTTTAATGTGCACGTTTTGTGGACGTGTTGTTTAAACTGTATTTGTCCTTTCCCTGTGTTACTATCCCATATATTACAACATGGTGACAAAATTTTACAATGTAATGGTACTTACTGTAGCATCATTACAAACTGTGGGCTCAAACATGTAAAGACAATGTACAATGAAGTCTCACAAAAGTAGAAATTAAAACAGCTGTTTTGTTGGATTTTATTTGATGTTACAGTTCATGTTATTATGTCCACCTATTCTATTATGTGTATTAAGACAGATCAGAAATATTAATAGAATTATCATGAGATAACATATTAGGGCCAAGAAATATCAAAATAAAAATGTCAGGAATGTTTGGTAAATATCAGGATGATTGATTTATTGTTTAAAGTCAGATTTTTGCTCCTGACTGATATTGTTTTATATCATATATATTTAAAATGTGTTGTTATGAATTATCTGAAATCAGTTTATGTCAGTTCTGATGATGAGTTTGTACAACAGGCTCAGTGTTAGAGTAAATATTCCATCATAAACACATTCAAGGTCATTTCATTTTCTAATAATGGCTCAAATGTTCATATCTGGTCTGAACAGGTGGGAGAAGCAGATATTACAGAGCCTAAAGGGTCATCATGTACAGTATGTGATCAATCCACACACAGCACAGCTTCTCAAATAATCTCATCTCCTTCATTGAAACAATGGACAAATACAGCTCTGCCAGACTAGAAATGACAACAGGAGCGTTTCCCAGCTTTATTAATAATTTAGCAGCCAAACAGAGCTGAGGGCAGTCGCAGAGGGGGAGCTCTGAGCCCCTCTTAGACATTGCCCGGGGCTGCAGGAGAGTATGCGAGATGTCTTTGCAGTGAAGACGAGCAGACGAGCGGTTGTGTGCTGGAATCGTTACTCTTACCATAAAACACACACACACACACACACACACAAACACCAACACACCAACACAGAGGGGTGTAATTTTGAATGAATTCAAAATTGCCTCGCACAGAATGAATGAATGAATTTACGTTGAGTCCCCAGTGTAAAATCAAGTGGATGGGGTTTGCTGGAATGGAATACATGAGAGAGCATTATTGAATCGACCACGCGTTCTGAATAAGTAAACTTGAGAGTGCAAATGAGTCACAGGGATTATGGTGCTGTCCGTGTGATCACTGGGTATGAAGCAGCGCCTGCTCGCCAGAACCCTTCCTAAACAGGGACTAATGAAAATAGAGAAGGACTGAAGAGGTGATGGTATTTGAAAACAGGTCATCATCTAACAGCATTCAGAATGGGGGGAAAAAAAGTCACTAACCCCCTTTGTAAGTGTTGTGTAGCAATAGTGCCCTCTTTTGGTAACATGTAAAATAAAAGATGAATCAGAGCTTCTGCTTCACTTTTTAAAACAAATGTGATATTTTTTTTTTTTTACTGTGTTGAAATCTGTGTTTGCTTCACAGCCATCAACGTAACTCGAGCCAGGTTCAGTGGAAGCGACGAGTTTGGTTACACCTCCTTCGTGGCTTATTCCTCCGTCCCGAGCCTCAGCTTCTTCTACGAGTTCAGCCTGAAGTTCACGCTCGCCAACAACTCATCTGCCGTGAAAGACAATCTGATCCTGTTCGCTGGGCATAAAGGACAAGGTCAGCTCAGCGCCAGCACCTGCGCAGCAATTTAGAATAATTCTAACGGTCAAATGAAAAGATGGGGGGTGGGCAACTTTGGGATGTCTTCTTAGTTGGATTTCAGGTGTCAAACTCCATTAAGGGTTTTAAAAAGAAATGCAATTGCTGCTCTGAGAGGTTCTCACCCGCTGTGGATGGTAATGTGCTACCTAATAGATTTCCACTCTCCTCTGAGGTCCTCTAATCAAGAGGGTTCCCTGAGGATTTTGAGAAATGAATAGTTTTCTTGCAATTAAAACATTTCTTGTTCTTGACTTTCAAAAGAAGCTTGTGTTGACATCGCACAGATAAAATAAACATGTGAGCACAGGCATCTCCAAAGTATGAGAGCTAATTGCCTTAAACAGACTTTGAGGTGTCGCTGCACTGTGATGCTGTCAGCAGCCATCACTTTAAATTAGGATCTCCTTTTCTGCAGGGTCAGATTTGGTAGCAGGTAACCACCGTGTCATTGTTATCGGCGTATTTCATCAAAAGGAGGAGAAGGGAAAGAAAGCAAAGGAGAGAAAAAAGAACAATCTTGTGGATCCTCCTGCATTTGTTTTCCCGGGAGAGTACAATTCATCATGGTGGAGGCAAAAACAAAACAAGAGCAATATGAATAATGAAACACTTGTCAGGAGAGTGAGCAGCGCTGTTGGTAATGGTGCAAAATTCAAAGGAACAATATGGAATAGATGGAATATGAACACCTTACGTGGTAATTGGTTTAATGAACTTGCATCTGTGATCGCTGACAACAGGGAAGGAAGCAGAGTTCATTTATTGAAGGCAAGTTACACCAAATTAAACGAGGCAAAATATATCATAAATCATATGGGAATGTGAATTTCACATTTTGGGGAATGGTTGTGTTGATTGTCTCAGATGTTATTTGCTTTTCATATAATGTTTTTACTGGAGGCAGAAAAAACTTTCTGTTTGAGATTTTTATGGTGTTCAGCTGGAATTCGGACATAAGTCATTAAAATACAAAGCTAGTTAGTACAGGACCCTGAACCTCACCCTATAGCCATCGCTTGTTTTGTTGGTTTAAGCTGTCTGGCCGTAGATACATGATGTGCCGGACAAATAGTTACCGAAATTCATATGTGACGGCTGCCGTTGGCTTTTTAACATCATTTATTGTGATTTTAATTTATTGAGATCCTGCAGTTTTTTGTGCTTTAGGTTTTTAGCGTTTCTATGTTATTGTATTGTCCATCTCTTATGTTCAGCTCAAGGTTTGTGTGGATGTTGTTTGTGTGAATGCAGCTGTCCATACTACAAATTGCCCATCAGGGACAATAAACACATCCTTGATCCTTGATACAAAACACCCTCTGACTGGAATAATCTTTTACCTCTCTACGTTGCTTCAGGGCATCTTTCTTTTCTTGTCTCAGAATAACCTGTGAAGGTTTTTTTATTTACTTTTCCTTGAATTAATTTTTTGTTGTCCAGTTGCTGAGGCCTGGGTGAGTGGGTGGGTGAGTGGGTGGGTGAGGCTGTGCGAATTATCTGTATATTTGTATTTGTAGTATATGTCATGTTGCTGTTTGTACATATTTTAAATGTTCTATTTATATTAATGAGACCCCCTTGTCCTTTCAAAAACAGTCTTTAAATGTTATCGTATGTTTTGAGTCTGCTGTGCTAACGACAGTCCTTTCATGTATTTTGCAGGAGACGATGGTGATGACTTCTTTGTGTTGGGACTACGAAGCGGACGAGTTGTGCACCGATTTAACCTCGGATCAGGTGTAGCAACTGTAGTCAGTGACCGACTGAACCAGCAGGTCAACATTCACACAGTCACATTTGGGAGGTCCAAGAAAACAGGATGGCTGAAGGTGATTGGATGATTGGAAAATTAATGCTACTATACTTTATACTGATGAATGAGAATTCAAAGGAAAACACATAGTAAGGTTTAATTACCTCTACAGGCATCTTGAATATTTCAAATGAAACAATCTGGGAAGGAAATTGACAGAATAAAGTATGTAACCAGGTACTGCAAACACTAATTGTAAATATATGTATCTTTATAATATATATATATTAAAAAGATAAACTAATGTACAGATTGAATAAGATACCGCTGGCATATTCCAGACCAGTGCTTCCCAAACTATGGGTTGGGACCCCCTGTTGGGATCATGAGGGGGGGGGGGGGTCACATGATTTCCAGAAACAATTTGAAAATGTAAATTTATATAGATAGATAAAAGATAAAAAAACAGCAGTTAAACATATAAAACATTCCTCAACCAACTCCTCAACCAACTTCAGTGATAATGGGGGTCCCAAGACAGGTTGAAATGTTTATCGCCCTGGTCTAGACAGACAGGATGTTTGCTGAATACAATAGGAAATATTTGCCAAAGAAAATTGGGAACCTTTATTCTTTAACATATTTCTCATTAGATTTCATCAATCTCTCCTGTGGCCCCTCCTTCCACTCATTTATTTTCCTTTGTCACCTCAGTGGTTAGATTCAAATAGCATATTCACACAAACACTACGTATCCTGTGTCCTTGGTTTGTATATGCTGTTATATTGAGGTGTATGTTTCCTCGGGCCACATCAGTATTCCTTTTATCAACACATAATTTAGTTCCAGTGGTCAGTTACAGCAGGATGTTCGCTTAATGTAAGAGTGGTTGAAAAATCCACAGGAATGGTGAGATGCTGCTGAGTTCCCCGCAGGGCCGAGATCCCCGGGGAACCTGCACCTCGAAGAGTTTAGTCTGTCCAGAGGCGAGAGCGTTGAACTAAACTGTCGTAGCTACTGAGGCTAATAAGTGTGCACTGACTGAATAACTCAGCGATCCAAGGTCATACATTGTGTAAAGTTTGGCAGATTTCTTTTAAAATAAATTGTGCTCCCACATGCTCCCCTTCAGATGCAAGTACTGACGTTTTTCTGTCTCTCTCAGGTTAATGGTCAACGTAACAGGACGGCATCGTCTCCCGGACCCCTGGTGGGCCTCAATGTTTTCAACCAGCTCTTTGTAGGTGGATATAATGAGTACACCCCTGAACTGCTGCCACTTGGCTCCAGGTTCCGTCAGGGCTTTCAGGGTAAGACCGACTACAGCTTCATTACGGCCCCAGCGCTGCTGAGCCCTTGGGCTCGGAGCTTCTTTCAGGATGTCTGTCTCTTTGTAAGCAGAGGGGAAGGTGTGTAATGAAAAGGGAGTTACAGGCTCGAACTGTGTATGAGGCCAGAACAGAGCTCCGAGGTTGATTGTATCTTCACCCTTTAATGACTTCACACACGGCACAGTTGTGTGTTGGCTGCAAATCCACTCCCGACGCTGATAAGTTGCTTGAACCGGGATGCCATACAAATAATCTTTGTCATCAGCAGCATCGTTTGTGCCCTCTCTCTCAGGTGTAGGAATATATTCTGGAGAGCATTCATTGTGCCTCGCTAATGTGCCGAGCTGTGGAGCAAAATTGCCATAACCGTAATGATGACAACAGCTATGAATATCATCATAACCATATTCAGCAGCCTCTGCACTATAGCAATGGAGCTTGTTATTATAAATGTCGTGGCAGATCCATTTGAGGTGAACAAGAGCTTTTTAGGTTTTGGACACCGGAGGGATTTGTGTGTGTTTGCTGATTCATCATCATAAAATTAATTTCCCCCCGCTTACCAAATAAATCCTCTAAAAAAATCAAATCAGCTATGGGGAAGCATCCATTTGCCCCCTGCGCATCACGCCGCAGCAGTTGGCTGTCTTCGGTAAGCACTACCTGAGCCCAGGCGACACCGGTGGAACCATAACCTTCCTGCTCGGGGTGTAATGAGAACTCATGAGCGTCTAATCAGATCTGTGTGACCTTCCTCAAGCTCTAATCATGATGGCTGCCAGTGAACACACTGATAATGCACTTCACTCCCAGTTATCAACAGATCCACTCTCCCCTGTGGAAAGGTGGCAGCGGAGGAGCTGTGGCTGCTGGAGAAAAAAAAAATCAGTCACTCTATTGAGCCTGTTGATCAAATAACAAGACATGGGGAACTTTGCATTAGTTGAACTTGTTGATTTAAAGCTGACTCATTTTTTATTTAATTTATAAATCGCCTTTTGCAACCTAGTCTTTGTTTTTAAAATACTGCCATAGGAAACCAGCAGAATATATCATTTTGACTGAAACTACTTGAAAGTTTTCCAAGGAAATGATTCTGCAAAAACATATTTACGCCGCATTTTGCTTATAATCAGGTTTCCTTGATTTGGTTTGTGCAGCTAAAACAAAAAATAAACCAGTTTTTGCAAATCTTTTTTATAAATCTGCTTCGCTTTTCCAACGGTCTAAGTTTTTTGCAGCAGCGCGAAGCATCACTTGAGTCTGCCAAGTAGACAGCATCAGCCATGAATATTCATGAGTGAGCATGACATTTCCCCTGCATCCTGTTTATGCCAATGACTAATGCAGCGGAGAGAAGGGAGTCTGCATGTGCAGATGACTGCAAGGCTTGTGCTCGGGCCCCGTATTTATAGAAGGCCCCGTGCTCTGCAGGTACAGGCCAAAGCAAATATTGTCTTGATAAAATTGAATTATCAAAGAAAAAAATAAAGCAAATATGATGAGGGAGATGCATGAAAACTCATATTTAAAACCCTCTGAAATCTCGGGTGTGAATTGAGACTTTAGTCCATCAAATTCAATGGTTAACATCGAATAAAGATGTTGAGACTTATCCTATAATTCTTATCTCATATCCTTTATATAAAACAATGTGTGGGCACATGAAAAAATAAACAACACTCAAATCCATTTCAAACATTGCACGCATTATAAGTGTTTTCCTCTGTATTTGCGCTGGAATCAGAAAACAGATTTTAATCACATTTTCCTGTGTGCTGTTTCTCTGATAATCCTCTGTCTATTGGCCGTCAGTGTGTGCATGTGTGTCTTTTCGCAGGGTGCATTTTTGATGTGCTGTTTCGCACAAGAAGAGACAGAAAGTTCCAGGCACTGGGACAGCCTGCGGGACATCCAGCCTTTGGGCGCAGTGTGGGTCAGTGTGGAGTCACGCCATGTGTTCATATTCACTGCAGGAATGGAGGGACATGTGTGGACTCGGGCTCATCTGTGTAGTAAGTTGGATAAAAACACAACGTGGTTCCTTTTCTGAGTATTTATAACGATTCCTGTCATAAATCACACAAGAGGACCTTGTTGCTGAGTGGGATGCACTGAACAATTCTCCATATTGTGTATAATTCAGTGTTGTGACTGGACTTCAATAACCTTCAGAGAGTCAGTACACAGTGCATGTAAAGCAAAAGGACACAACAGTGTTTACAAGCCCTTCACAGCGTCTGACTGTGTCCGTCTGCAGTTGCCAGTGCCCATTTGGATGGAAGGGAGCTCTCTGTTCTGAGACCGTGTCTGTGTGTGATGTGGAGCACAGCCCCCCTCCTCTGTGCGCCCCCGGCTCCACCTGCATCCCTCTCCCAAACGGATACACCTGCCAGTGCCCCCTGGGGACAGCAGGGCTCTACTGCGAGAAAGGTTTCCGCCGCCGAACCCCCCCCCAACTGTATCATTATGCTGAATATGTTATTTATTTATGTAAATAAGACAAGAGCCTCGGCGCTCAATTATTTAACCGCCGTAATGTTCTGCCTGTTCAGCCGTGACCATCAGCGATCCATTCTTCAGCGGCAACCTGTCCTCGTGGATGTCATTCCCACCCATGGGTGTCAGACACAGGACAGTTCTGCAGCTGCAGTTCCAGCCTTTGTCACCGGATGGCATCCTTGTGTATACTGCACAGCACCTTAGTGCCAGAGCTGGTGAGGATGTTTTCATTCCGTATTAAGCTTTAATTCATTACACAAAATACTTTTCTGACTATGTGAGGACCAGGATCACTATTTTTCTCTTATTCTTTCTTTCAGCATAACAAAAGAAACGTGCAGAAACCAAAATTACTTTGGAGCACCTTCCATAATACATAGCATTAGGAAAACAATATCCTTAAACTGTATCAGTTTCAGGCTAAAAATTACCTGAAGAGAGGTGTTTGGGCATATTGGTATCATCTTAGTACTACCAGTATGTTAGTACCAGTATGTAAGGGTAGAAATTAGTATTTTAAAATTTAATAAATACCTGAGTCATCTCTGTTATGTGAAATGTGAGTATTGTTAAAGTAAAATTTAAGTGTCAGTTCCCTAAAAAGGCTTTTAGTGCAGTTGTTCCCAACCTGGACATCCCAGGATGAATCTGGCCTTGAAGTGATTCGTGTTACAGGATACAAAGAAAAATGTTCTGCTTCTCACATTAAGACTTGTATTTCATCTGACTTTTCTTTGGACCTATTTCTGTATTTTCCCTTTTTGTATTTTCTTCCTACAGGAGACTTCTTCTGCCTCTCCTTGAAATCTGACTTCGTCCAGCTGCGATACAATCTGGGTGACGGCACCCGCATCCTGCAGTCTGTCGACAAAGTGGACTCGAGCGGTAGGACCTGGCACAGGGTGACGGCAGGCCGAGTCGGCCACCGAGGCTTCCTCAGTCTGGACGATAAGGAGGTTAGAGAGAATGCAACTGAAGGGATGACCACCCTCGACGTTGCTACGGACATCTTTGTCGGTGGGGTTTCCACTTTGAGTTTCGTCTCCACTGATGCAACTGAAGGGGAACCAACCGGCTTCACAGGCGGCATTAGAGAACTTATACTTAACGATGAAGAGCTGGAGTTAACGGAGATGGGGGCAGTGAGCGGAGCAAACATTGGGGACTGGGATGGGACCGCATGTGGGTACAAGGTCTGCCAGAATGAAGGTCACTGCAGGGCAACGGGGAGTGACTCATTCACATGCGTGTGCCCACCATCATGGACTGGCTCTGTGTGCAACCAGTCCATAAGCTGTGCAAACAACATCTGCAAACACGGTTCCTTGTGTGCTACGTCTAATGTGACCTCATACCACTGCATGTGCCCCCTAGGATGGGGAGGAAAGCACTGTGATGCAGAAATATCCACAGACGTGCTCAAGTTCGTGGGAAACTCGTATGTGAAATACTCTGACCCGAGATACAACACAAGAAATTTAAAATACACACGGGTGTCTTTCAGCTTCCTGACAAGCTCCAATGACAGTTTGATCATGTGGATGGGGAAAGCCGAACATGAAGACGATGACTACCTCGCAGTCGGACTCGAGAGCGGCCACCTCAAAATCACAGTCAATCTCGGGGAGAGGCTCTCCCTCCCGTTAATGTTCAGAAATCTAACCCTCTGTTGTAACAAATGGCAGAACATCTCCTTATCTTTGAACAGCACCGTCCTTCAAGTGTTCCTGAACAGTAAGAGAATCCTGTTCGAAGACGTGGACCCGTTTGAGCGATATGTGGCCTTAAACTACGGTGGTCAGCTTTATTTCGGGGGGTTTGAGTTACACAGAAACGTCTCGATCGTCACTTCCGGGCTGTTTTCAAAAGGCTTTGATGGAAATCTAAAAAACGTTTATTTATTTGACGACACCAAGCCAGTGCTGTTCCTAAAAAACAGTGATGGTTTTAATGTTTATGAGGGGAATGAATAGTAGTGAAAATGTAGCTTATAGTTTGTTTTTAATTCTTAGCTAGGGTCCAGTTTTTCAAAGTAAAGTTCATACTGAACTATATTTGACTACTTGTTTTCAACACTTCTTAGTTCAGTTGTCATTTGATTTGTTATGTATAATAGCTTTCAATGGAATGTATGTATCGTGTCTGAATCAAAGCTCCTTCTTATGTTCTGTTTATTGGTGGGTGGCAACCAACTTCAAGGTGCATTATCGCCATCTGCTGCTTCTTCTACTCACTGCTCCGATTTCACAATATGCAAGTGTTTTTTTTACCTTTGATTCAAAGACATACGTTTTTATAATCAACAATAAAAAAAGGATTAGCTTTATTACGAACTGTACATAAACACACGGTGCAAAGGCACACTTCATCTCTAATTTATACAAGCCAAAATGTACATACTTTTTCAATAGAAAGTAAGTATATAAAATATTTAAGCAATTTAAAAGAAATGAAGTTGAAAAAAAGCAAAGCTGCTGTTAAGAGCCATCCTTGTGTTACATTCATTCAATATGTTAAACTTAAACTTCTGATCAAATGGTCCACACACACACGCGTTGTATGTTACCGCGACAATGACATTTACTGGTCATCTGTAGTCAAAACAGCAGCTTAATGTGAACAATACATGAACAGTAAAAGGTTAAAATTTTGAAAAATTTCCCAATGTTGAGTTCTTCTTGGTCTGAAGACGAAATGATATCTCATTTTGGCTGCATAATGGATAATGGAACTTCTATGAAGAAAATGGCATATAAGCCGCAGACTGGTGTATAAAACAAACAAGCTGTGACAGTCTTTCTAGCTCTATGCTGCTTTAAAATAAAATTAACAATTATGAGTAACTATCTTTTGAACTTCTACGTCCATTCTCATAATCAGAGTCCCGTCTGTGTCTGTGTCTGTCCTTGTGGCGGCTGCTGTAGTCGTCGCTGTGGTGCCTCTCTTTCCTCTTCTCAGCGTGACGGTCGTCTGAGTGTCCGTGGTGCCTGCTCCTCTCTCTGTACTTGTCATCGGAGCTGCGATCGTACTTTTTCTCCCGCTCCCGGTCTTGGTGTCTGCTCTTTTTCCCGTGATGGGAGTCCCTGTGGTGACTGTGCCGCCCATGGTGGTCTCTGTCCTCTGTGTTTCGTGGCCTCGCCCACGGGTCGCTGTATCGCTCCTCTGGACGCTTGTTGTCTTTGGCCAGGGATGGAGGTTGCTCAGATAGCTGAGGGTAGCTCTCGGCGTACTGTGACTGAAGTCCAGGAACATACGCTGTGCTGTCCTGAGCGCACGTCGTACTGTGAATCTGATCCTGGGTGTTTGGGGTAGAGAAAGTGTTAGCAGGAGGGCCACTCAGGTAGTCATAGCTGCCAGGTACCTGAGGCTGTTGCAGTGGGAGATGTGCTGCTACACTGTTGTGTGCTGGGAAAGCGGGTGCAGCTGGTAGTCCCTGTACTGCAGGAGGATATACTGTTGGTGTTACAGTAGCACCACTCTGGGACATGGCAGGATCTTCCTTTTTAGGGGAGCACGATTGAACAGCAGATTGGTTTTGTTCCTCAGGCTTGTTCTTGGCCTGAGAAAGCTGTAAATATCCTTGGTGAAATGTTGTAACTGGATCACTTCTAGTGCTGCTCAGCACAGGAACAGGTTTAGGACTTGAAGTTGCTGGCTGGCTGACTTTATCCTTTTGTAGCACCATGGTTTTATCTTCATTTACACTGGAATACGCTGAGGACTTCTTCAATATCCCACTTAAAGGAGGTTTTGAGCTATTTGTGTGATCTGATGTGGTCTGGGATTTTGATTGCAACAAAGAATTCCCTTCAGTCGATCCTTTTTCGGTTTCAGACAAAAGGCCGGCATCGCCTTTGTTTCCCGAGGCAGCACTGCTAGTTTCAGTCCCACTTGGAGCCGCTGACAGGCTTGCCAAGAACGCTTCAGTCGGTACATCTGGAGGCTTATCTTTCAGAGAGAGATGTGCAACGTGGGTCACCACCGCAGCATCTTTTCCTGACGAGTTGTTAGCAGCAGATATATCAGTCGGGCTGGAGAGCTCTGGTTCAGCTTTAGCAGCTTTAGCCTCTTTCTTCTTGATGACGAAACGCTCTCGTGGGGCAGCAGCTGTTGGACTTTTTGAGTTCCCAGCCGGTGCCACGTTTTTTGGAGGTGGTTGGGTCTTAGGGGTGTCATCTGCTGCTGGTGCAGGTTTTCCTCCAAAATCTGGCAGAGGTGGCAATTCCCCACCCCAGCCCACTAACACACCTGGAAGAAAGCGCAGTGGTTTTTGTGGCTCCTGATTGTTGGTCTCCTCTGAAGCAGATGGTTCTTCGAGAGCCTCTTTAACAGGCTCATCAACAGCCTCAGTGGTGTTAAGTGGTTTGTCCGTCTCTTTTTTATGCACTGTAGTTAAGGAAGAGAGAAACAACTTCTCATCCTCCACTGTTGTCCTGGTTTCTTTAGCGGAAACTGTGACAGGCTTGATTTCAGGAATAATCCTCCCAGTTTCATTCATGTCCAGAGGAAGAAAATCCCTTTTTGATCTCTGGCGTATTATGAGTCCGAGAAGAAGGTTGGCACGGTTGTTTTCTAAACCTGTCAAATAAAAAGATTAATTAAGTTTAAGAGATCCTCCCTCTTTGTGTTATTAAGTAATATAAATTAATCATCCATGTGAAAATTGGTCAAGCGTTGAGGTTACCTGGCCCATCAAAGGGAACAAGCTGATGTGGAACTTTCTCAGTGGCACCCAAGGGAATGAGATACATGTCCTTCACTTGTTTCCGGTTATTAGACACCACCCCGAAACGCCTACGACTGCTGAAGTAGGCGTACAAGAGAGCGTAGGAGATCTCATCTTCATCCGACTCGGGGGAGAAGCGAATCAGGCACACCTCCTTTAATGAGATAAAAAGGCATGTGTCAGTAAAATCTTCCATCCATGTACAAGAACAATGATTTAATCAAGCAGCTCTTAAATGCATCAAATGGCATTTAACAGTGGAATTTTAAACCTCTGAATGTAAACCTGAGCTGCTCTTGATCACAATGAACCTCATGCATCAGTGGATGATTGTATTTAAAGACATAGTCTGTAGGATTTTTTTTTAAAGAGTAATGTATTGACTAAATCAACACCTATGATCCACCAGAAGTGTGGTTGTGTAGAGGCCTGTATTTTGTGTTTGGGATGTTTCTGGGCTGCTGCCTTGGGACAGTGGGTGTATATCCCTCAGCCAGTAACAACATGCAGAGTGTAAGGGAAGGACAATACAAAAATGTGTGTGTGTGTCAGAAGTGTTACCTAATCAGTAGCGACATGTGCATAAATCCAGACGTATTAAGAAGGTGAACACGATAGATTCTAAAGTTCTCTGCAAATGTGGCGGCTGCTGATTTGTGTTCACATCAATTGAAGATGTTAGAAGCAGCTGTTCCAGACAGAAAAAGCAGAGACTGTGACATAAAGCGTATATTTTAATATTTACTACATATGTCATCTACCTCCCAGATTTATTCCACAAGTGAGGGGTGTTTCTTTGTGCTTTTGATAACCACCGCATAACAATCAGTAAATAACTGATCCACTGCTTGCTCGCACAACCACCTCTGCTTGTTGAGCCAGAGAGAAGGAGTTGACTTTGAATGATCAAGTAGTAACCGACAAATCCTGTGTAATATACCTTTAATGACTGTAATGTACTATATTCATTTCCTAAAAGAAAGCTGTCAAAACTCACTTTTGTTCCACTTGCCCGAATCTTGTCCAAATAGTCCCACACTTGCTGTGGACTTATCCTCCCGCCAACTTGAATGCTGTCTGGCAGGTCCTGTTGGGAGGTGGAATCAAATATATAAACTGACAGTATTTTAAAACAGCTATAAAAAACTCTTTATGTTCACTTGCGTCCACAGTACCTCAGTGACATTATCCAGAATTCCAGAGACTGGGAAAGCTTTAGTCACAAGCTTTGCCACAGCGTGCATGTGAATGAATCCTCGCCACAGGGACTGCAGGCTGGAAAGGAACAAGGCCTCTTCATCTCTTCCAGCTCCGTGATCTGACCTGTGACAAATAGAACAGCGATGGAGCACTCTTGCAAAAATGACTTACACATAGGAACCACGCAGAGAGGCAGAAAGAACGGCATACCTGGATTCATAGCCTGGCCGAGCACTTCTGAAGCTCTCCTCTAAAACAGTGAGGTGCAGGTCGTCTTCGAGTGCAGGTCCTGCTGTGCTTTTTGTCTCTTCTGATTTGGTGGACTGCCTCCTGACAACGGTGGTAGCAACTTTGACCACTTTGGTAGGTGCCTCCTCCACAGGGGGGGCCATACGACCTTATAGAAGGAAAAAGGAACAAATGTGTCACAGAGGAGGGTGAATTGTTGAGAAAGAGCTTCATGGCTAAAATCGGAACTTGTGCTGATGTCAGGGTTTTACCTGTACAGATTTTGCAGTGTAGGTCAAATAAATGAGACTTGTGTTGGCTGGTAGTGTCTTTCTCAGTCTTGGTGTCCTCCGCATTCTTTTCTGGGGTATTTGAAGGTTCTATCAAGACTTCAGTCAATTTGGGGGGAAGCTCCAGCTGAGAAGAGTGAAACCAAAGAAATTCAAGCAAACATGTCACCCTCTTTTACTTGTATATATAATGCAGAGTAATATTTGACATGTTGCTTTACCTCTATAGGCTCAGGCGCTTTTGGTGGTTCTTGACTTTCAATTTCAATTTCGCCCTTGTGTGTGATCTTAGTGATCGGTCGTCTCTCTGCCTCTCTTTGATCTTTTTCAATCATCTCAATTGTCTGTAAAAAAGGAGGAATTCATTCTAATTAGTTTTTTCGATTTATTTTAAAATACAACCATCTCTAAAGAAAACAATAATAAAGGCACCAAATCTACAAATGTTAATCCCACTGGCTGAGCTTAACTTCTGTGGCCTAATTATTGTCATTTATTGAAATTACACACTGTGAGCAGTCAAGGTGAATTTATGCGATAAAATAAGAATATATAGACCAAGCTTTTAGTTCTACTTACATGTCGGTTCTCCCTTTGTCGCCAAGCCGCCAATTCCTTCGAGGCCAGCTCCTCAGGACTCATTCGAATTAGGTTACTGGGTGAAATTTCCCCCTCGAGAACTCTCTTAAAGAGGACCTAAAGAAAACCATTCAAACAAAATGGAAATGCATTTATATTAAAACTGAAATACAACACCAAGAAAACTGTATCATGTGTGATTTAAAGTCATACTTACATTGTTTTTAGTGTCTTTGAGGTTAAACATTAAGCTTCTGTACTTGTTCTTGTACTTGTTGTCAGTATCTTTATACAAGTGAAAAAGTTCTCTCTCTGTCTTCCTGGCGACTTCAGCAGCCCGCTCCACTGAGATGTTCAGATCAGACTCCTTCAACCTAAAATGCAGAAAGTGTCCCCATTATTGATGAATTTAAGTAATGAAACAGAAGGCAATGTCAATTTCAGGATTTTCTCTAACTTAAGCTTATGAAATACTTACCTCTGTGTAAGGATTTCTTTCAGAGAATCACGCACACTTCGTCTGATGGCCTCCACGGACACGGGTTTCTTTGAAGCCGAAGTTTTACTTTTTGCCTCTTGTCTCAGCGAAACGCCTGTGAGGACAGAATCACAATATGTAGGGAGCAGGTGAGGGAAATCTGTGACCACTGGGAGTAGAGTTAAGATAGAAAAATGTGACATTCACAAACAGCTGATATGAACAACTTTATCGCCTCTTAGATATTGGATAACAGCTAATGAGATTTTTTTCACCCCTTTCTTCTGTAATGAACAAAGAATGCACAGTTAGCGAATTTTAGATGTAGCTGTGAATGACCTTCACCAAACTTGAACACAACAGCAGGTAGTCAAACTATATTAGGCAGCAGGAAGACGGTGGGATCGTGTTCCCAATACGGAGGCAAACAGCAACCACCAACACAACACAACAAACTGAACAGCTATTGTAAGATTCCCTTACACCTACACTCGTCTTTAGTTTTAGTTTTCTCTTTGTTATCTTGCCTTAGAGTATTTGCAATTCCCGAATGTCCTCCTCACTCACTAGTTTTAAACTCATTGTGAACTTTGTTGAGTTTTTCAATTACAAACCTTGAGCTGGGAGACAATTTCTAAGGAAGTTGTGAAAAATATCTGCCTGCTTCTTTTTAAAAATACAATGTATGCACTCATTTTCATTGGTATTTTCACACTGTCACCAGCATGTGGGTAGTCTTGGCATTCCATTATTATATTTGGTCTCAGTAGACTAATATAGTTTATATAGATATTTTCTGGTTTTGTTGATAGATATATGTGTGTGTGGTTAATAACACCCAGTTTTTATTAAAATGTAAGCAGCCCAAGTCCAACTGAAAAGCTGTCTGTATGTAGCAGGTTTATTTTAGTTTGCCAATAAACCGCCCCCTCTCTCTACCCGCAGTACCTGCAGACTATGAATCATGGAAGCGGCAGCAGAGGGAGGAGGACAGAGGACAGGAGGAAGGACTGATACTGACTGATGTCAAAATTCTTCATTCTCACTGAGCTTCACAAAGTCTTTGTAGTGAGGAATATTATTGATTTCACTGACATTTCACATTTATTGCCAGTGAGATAGTGAACGTACATGGTGACTTTGCTGCAGTAAACTGTATAGTCGTTGCTCTAGAAACAGTATTTAATTACATTTACATATAATCAGTAAAAGAAAATAGTCGAAACTGTGCATATGTCAAGATGCATCAATAATAGTCTTATAATCGCATCATAGCCCTCTGAATGAGAATCAATGAAAAACTTTAAACCCAAAATGAACTTTGAATAATTTAAAATCCCTCCAACTACCACTCGGAACCCAGACGGCACCTAAGGCCTGTGAAGACCTTTAGAACAATCCTGTAGAAGTGCAACGAGTTTTGTGGAAACTTCTAAAACAGAGTTGGAACAATCTTTCTGCAATATGTGTGTAGCAGAAAGAACAACAGTTGTACATTCATCACCTGAATCAGTCAAAATGTTTGATTAAATTTAGACATTCAGTGATTCTACATTCCTAAAATCCATTCTTTGATTGTTTCAGGCTTTAATTTCAGAAACACTGATTCACTGAGGTATATAAAATTCAATAATTTATAATAGCTGTAAAAATGTTGTCTTCAAAACATTTTGGCCAGTAGTGTTGCGCATACTTGCTTCTGAATCTTGTCTTATTTATGGAAGAAGACAGGTCTAATTTTATTGTTCAACTTGTTGTGATTCTCTTCATTTAATCTTGTTAACAATTCTGTAATCACATACCTGTTTTATAAGCTCCATCTCTGGCATCTGCAGACTGCCTTCTGTCAGGATCCTATTTTGAGAGAGTAGTGCAAAAAGTCCATCAGTCATATGATAACTATTATGCATCATTGAGGAATAAAATATATGAATGAAATTAAAATGTGAAAAGGGTAAAATAGGACATAATAACCCATCAGCCAATTTCAGAACAAATTCAGTGAGTTTTAAGTGCAGGGAAATGTTCTAAAGGTCGGTGAGAACACCATGTTAACCACACACCCATGTGCAAGGCTCCTGCAAAGTAAAAGCAAAAAGACAAACCATTGTGTAGTAGTGACACTGGCTATGATTAATATCAGAGGATGAATTATCTGAGGGGGAAAGAAATCTGTCGTATGTGAAGGATTTCAATTTTCGTCAATCCATTTTGAAACATTTTTCTTGGAAGAGCTTATTGTGATAGTGCTTACCTTTCTTACTGGTCTGACTCCCCCTGATGTGAGGCTCTGGGAGGATCCTGGTTCTGGTTTTGGTTTGGGAGGCAGCTTCTGGTCCTGGACCTCAGTCTTTGCTGGAACTTCTGATTTGGGTGCACTCGGGGGCTCAGGCTCCACCTTTCTGCTCTCTTCCTCACAGCACTTCAGGCAAACATACATCTGGTCCTCCTCCTCCATTTCACGTACTTTTGTCAGGTCGAGACCGACACAGTCTCCGTGGAACCAGTCTTCACAGCGGCCACAGCCTACCATGAACCTAGGCAGAGTATGGTTGTTATTAAAGGTGTGTTTGCAAATTAGTATTCTGGACACCAGAGTACTCTGAACAAGCAGATATTACACCAATTTAAAAATTCTGTTTCCAAATTCTAATATTGCATGATGAAAAGTCAACAATTCAGTGTTACTCATAGCTCTGCAACAAACAACATACTCTGTTCAAATCTGAGTCACAATTAATAATATGGTTTTTATATTGTACAATAATTCTCTATATTTAGGTGAAGAGCGGCCCTTACGTGTTGTTGTGGTGTTTTTTACACAGGCCACAGCAGTTGTTTCCATCCCACACGGTGTCACTGTTCACAGGCTGCTCCTCGACCGCTTCCTTCTTCGCAACAGGAGCGTTATCTGGGATGAAGAGCTGCGGCTCATCCACAGAGATGCTTCTTGCACTTTTACTTTTCTGTCTCTGAAGGATCTTTTCTGGCTTTTTCAGTTTGGGCTTTTCCTGTCCCCCCTCTTCAGGTGTTTTTAATGCATGGCTTGGACGACTGTGCACTGGCTGAGCAGACTCAACTTTGGACTTATTAGGAGCGGGCGTATGTTTGGTTGGTGGCTGCTGATCACCAACACGGTTGCCAGATGATGGGCTCTTCTTCACTGCTGAGCTCGATGGAGCTGGTAGTTTTGGCTTCACTTTACTGTCTCCTGTGCTCTGTGTCTTTTGCACTTTAGAAGCAGGCTCACTTTGGGCGTTTTCCGCAGGCCTCTTCAAAGGCGTGACTTCTTTCTTGTCCTTTAGAGGTTTATTTTTGTGCAGGTCACCTCTTTGGATGATTTTCGATGGCATGTTTTGGGATACTTTATGCTCTGTAATCACGGTTTTTGGTTTACATGAAACCAAGTCCTTATTCTTGTTAGGAATCAGTCCTTGTTTAGGGTTAGCTTTAAGTAGATTTTTCACTACATTCAGTTCCTTTTCTTTACTCTCAGTCTTACTAACAGTAATTCTGTCGTTTTCGTTGCTTTGTGGCTGATTAATTTCTTCTTTTTCGTTACTCACTGGCTGTTGCTTTTCAGGAATACTCTGATTGTCAAGCTTTGTCTCTTGTGTGGACGGGTTCTCTTTTAACGTCCCATTGGATGTCTGCACATCATTGGGATTTACATAGGGGCCCAGCCCATGGACTACATCATCAGCAGTGCTCTTCTCAATTACATCCACCTCTGCCACACTCTCAACGATGGGATTTTGTACATTGACAGCATCACCCGGCAACACGGCCAAATCTTTGTTCACAACGTGCGACATATCATCCTCAATGCACACGGCCTGGCTTGTATCAACGTTTTGTGTATAAGAGGGTCCTGGAAGCAACTCTATCTTGAATCCTCCAATTGTTACTGTTAACCGTCTCAATACAACCGTAGGATTCAGCCATCGTCCTCCATCAAGATCATTTACATTGATGCGTCCTCCTTGAGTTAATTCTTTCTTTAGTTCTGTGTCTTTAATTCCTTTCTCAATGAGAAATGACTTTTGTAGCCTGTTGGCTGGTTTCCTTCCTGGTCGTCCTCGGGTAATGATGTTGGATGTGTTCACGCGTTGTGGGTCATCACTATTTTCTGTTTCAACAAGAACCAAAACATGGAAAATTACGTTACTCACACCATCTCTAATTAAAAGATTTCATATAGTGGAAATCTAAACGCACGAGCACCAACTAACCTTGTACTAAATGCTGTGGACGTTTCTTCGGCCTGCCAACAGGACGCTTCACTGGTGTGGTCTCTTCAACTGTCATTTCACTGCTGGGACCTGCGGGTGCTGAACTATCCTCATGACCTGCCAACAACAAGTAAAAGAAATGATTGTAGATTATCTCCTGGTGTATCTATATGATGGACAAATAATCTACAGAAAGTGTAAAGCTCATTTTAGACGATATTGTGCATTTTTCAAGTGTAATAAAAGGCCAAAAATAAGAAAAAACACCATTGGAGCAGTATGGGATTTCCCTCAGGTGTTCTGCAGCACCTTACAGCCTACTAATATTATGCATTCAATACATAAAAGAGAAAACTTTTGACTTCTTTCACCAAGTTTTCCAGTTAATTCTGAATTTTATTATGAAGTAGCCACATGATGTAATGGTAGTAGCATATATTAGTAGGAGTTTAATCAAAGACTGGATTCAGTAAAAATTTAGATCTTTTACCATCATTTGTCTGTTGACGTACCTGTGGAGGTGGCAGCCGGAAAAGCAGACTCCTCATTGTCCAGCAGATTGAACTGAGACTGAGAGCTGGCACATCCAAACATGGGATCTTTGTCACTGAGCATGTTCTTCAGTGAATTGTCCAGCTGGAGTCCAGACCCTAGCTCATTACTGGCTTCACATTCCAAGTTCCGACCTACAATCAGGGAGTCGTCCAACTGGTCACTGGGTATTAGATGGTTTAAGGTCTCCACAATGTCCATGAATGCTGCTGCCCTCCTGCAAAACAACACAGACAGAATGAGTCCAGGTTGATCAAGTTAAATTATGTTGATAATACTGGGATAAAGCTCTCATGCATCATGTGCAACATCCTAGTAGCACATCATATATCAGACTAGGCTCAAGAGACAAACCAGAGCAGATGTAAGCAAATATTCACAGGTTTCAAGCTATTTTGAGTAAACTTCTCTACAAATGGCTGCGTCCTGTCGGTTAGATTGATGGCATTGCTTAACACTGAATTAATATCACCGTTATTGCACAAAGAGGGACAGATGACCTGGGTTTCCTCCATCAGCAGTGGTTTGTTGTAGCCTGCAAGTTTACTCGCCTGCACCGTTCAGTCAACGTCGCCAGCTTCTACTTGTTTTGGTCATTTCTCTGATCCATCAATGTTTACACAGCCCGATGTTTTCTACTTCTCACCAGCTTTACGTATTTTGAATTAAAAACCAAAACAGTGTCCACATCTTTAACCCGGAGAGTGTTTTAACAAGTGACGCTGCTGTTAAATGACCTGCAAGTTACCAGGATTTTTAAAAATCAAGCACGGCTGCAGCAGGCCAGAAAACTGAGCTGTGCTCAAAACCAGAATCGTTAGCTACTTAAATCTCAAACCCGCTGGTAAGATTCTATCACCGGGTTAGTTTCCTCTCACTTAATACAACTCCATCACTATAAGAAACACGGACAACGTGTGGCCAAGCTTTGCCAGTGAGCTGTTTGCTTGTTAGCATGCTAACGAAAGGAGGCTAACAACAACCCGCTGCAGAACGCGTTAGGGAAGCTATGATAGCATGCTAAAGGTAACTTACGGAGGAAGCATGCACAGGGCAGCTCACTGATTTGGATTCTAGCATAATACAAGCTATGTTTACACCATAAGTGCAAGGAGAGCCAACACATGCTGGATAAAATATGTGAGTATTTAGTTACACAGCTCGATGCTAACTCTGTCATTCAGGCTAGCTAGGTCCCGTTAGCATAGGCCCTAGATACCAAGTTTGTTTGTAGCCTAGGCGCTGCTAAGCGAGCACGCCCACACGCAACACCTCCACCGCTTGCGTTTGGAATATTTCGACATATCTGAGTGAATATTAGAAACTCTTACCTAGTTCTCGCTTCACTGCCCCGTCCGACTCGCGTAAGGTTACATAGTAGCACCGCTGCTCCCAGTAACTTCCTCTAACTCCGCCGTGAATCGCCCCAGTGCTGCAAAGCCCCTGACAGGCAGCGTCACGTGGCTTGTGTTTACAGGCAGCATGGCAGAGACCACGGACCCAGCGACGACCACTACTGACTCACCACAGACGGCTGCTCACAGACATCGCACAGCTTCACCGCCATCAGCAGACGGGTATGATGTTTACGATCTGGCTCCGTTGCTCCAAGATCGAGGGCAAAAGTTTGAAACTGAAGAAATACGACCTGAAACAATAATCTAATAATGATTTTTTTGAAATGTAGTTTGAGGTAGAAGAATAATCTCTGGACCTGCAATTGGAAAATAAGGCCTCATATTACATTTTTGAACGAAAGTGAGAAATACGATTTAAAAAATCTATTCTTAAGACGTCCAGATTTTGAAAATTATATTCGAATTGAAACTTCTACATAATATCTACTTATTCAAAACTGAAACTTTTAGTTTCAAAGTTTTTCAATGACAATTTTCTTTTTTCAAATTTGCAAAGCAATAGTGCCTGATCTAACAGTCCCACGTACAAACAACAACTTTAAAAGGCCATTAATGTGAAAAAGTAAAATATTTGACTCTGTCTTTGAATATTTCTTTCTACATTTAAAAACAACTTTCTTGCATTTGTCCATTGCTTAACAAAGCTGCATGCAGGGACCACAGCGAAATGGATACAGGCAAGATTTGAGTAACATGTGGACATAATGACACTACAGTTGATCAATGACTTTATTGGTTTATTTTAGATTACTGGCATTTCAGTGTCAGGCTACTTGTGCTTAAAACACTTTGCTGCACCTCTACTACTTTACATTATTAAAACAATGTGTGAATCTACATTTCTATTACTAACAAAAGGCAGAAAATAATGAGAATAGAAATAGATACAGTGTTTAAAGATGTGTTGTTCATGCCATTTAATTCAAAGTCTGAATCATGTTTGTGCAGCAGTTTTTTCAAAGGCTGAAGCCGCACAAACAAAGCTGCAGGTCCCATCACAGGTTCGACCTGTCCACCCACCAAAGTCACAATAATGCCAGGTTAACAGGTGAAACAAAACTTTGACATATTTCACAGACATTCAGGACTTGCATCCACTGACAGTCAATACAATGGAACCTATAATATTTTCAAAAATGAGTCCACTTCCTTCAGATAAAATGTAAAATAAACACTATATTTGCATATGTGATATAAGAAATAAGCTCTGATAAGAAAACACTGTTGATTAATTTGGGCTACAGACAACAATAGAGCAAGGTTCAGCATGTTACATAGAACTCAATTAAAATACTGTTCCCTTTTATTTTTCTCAATACAACTAATGAGGAAAAATAACTTAAACATTGTTATTTGGAAAAATGCTCTTTCAGTCTTTTATTTGGGTCCAACCCATACCAGAGCACATCCTCTTCCACTGCTGCCCAAGCCATTCGCTCTGTGGTAAACGTGGCTGCCCACTGCCCGGATGGAGAAACTACAATCGCACCTCCTGCACCTCGAACACGTTCGCCCATGTACCTCAGAGACAACTGTGAGGCATCTGCCACTGATTTACCTGTTTGTGTGAGGGAGAGAATAAAATACGAAATAAATGTACGGTTGATGCTGCTAATGTCAACAAATACACAAAAACATACAAACTTATGAGTCATTGAAAGAAATAAACAACCTCATCACGCTATCAAATCAAATGACTGCTATAATGAAATATCATAGTCACTCTAAACTTTACTAAACTAGGAATTACATAAGGCATTTGCACTATTTTAATCTTATTCATTCACTTGACTGTTTGGTGCTTTGTAGCCAAATACACAAATTGTGACATCAAAAAATGAAGTCTGTCAAAAAAATCGTATTTTACCTTGTTCAATGTGTGAAAGAATGAGTCTGGCCAATGTGACTTTAAGAATGGATTCTCCATGACCGGTACAAGACACTGCACCAATACAGTTGTCTGCATATCCTCCAGAGCCTTATTTACAAAAGCAAGATTAATCATTTATTACATTTTTATTATGCTACTCAATTTCACACATTGAGGTCCCCAAATATTAATATAAATTAAACTCCAAGTTGTGAGGGGGAAAATCTTATTTTAACGGCAGCTGACGATATAAAAATGTGCTATTTGAGAGAGTTCAAGTCAATTAATTCGTACCAATAATTGGAGAGTCTCCTACTCTCCCAACCATTTTATTCCTGATCCCTCCAGTTGATGTTGCACATGCGACATTACCAGAACCATCCACAGCAACTGCTCCAACTGTATCATGGGCCCTGAAGAAATAGAAAAAGCACATTTACTGTAAACGCCATGTTTGGTTTAGTACTTTGAAACCTGTGTGTTAGACGCCTTTATACTGAACAGTTGAGCATTTAAATGATATGTTTTTATTGAATTATATTTAATGTTTTGTCAGGCTATTCAGTCTGTATGGGTTGAGATTATTGAAAGATAAGAAAGTGTAAATATAAAGTCTGATGCTGCAGATACAAACCACTGAGAGTTAAAATCTTCCATGACTCCAGTGACATAATTCTTCTGCCTCTCCCACTCTCTCCTCTCACACTCCGTCACCAGAGTCTCAGGGGGGACTGTGGCCACCCCGATGCTCTCTGCAAACATGTTTGCACCTCTGCCCATCAACATGACATGGGCGGTCTGAGATTTCCCATGGCAACAAACATGTAGGGAAAAGTGAAAATGCTAAATGTAATAAAACGTACTTTGTAACAACAAACTAAAAACAATTATAAAAATATAAATCAGTATCTCCTGCTACGTCTTTTCCATAAAGCCAAAAGTATTTCAGATGACACCTTCTCCATCACTGCTCGTGCCAGTGACACAGGGTTGGCAATGTTTTTCACACAAGACACAGCACCACTGCCCAGTGTTCTTCCATCCATGATGATGGCATCCAGCTCCACTTCTCCCTCAGTGTTGAGTGCGGCTCCGTGGCCTAGAATGAAATGTTACAGTCAGTTACAAACTTAAACAACAACAAACTTGCTGAGCAACGAAACAGACTTTGTGTGAAGAGGTTAAAAACCACAGCTGTTTATCAAAGGGCGGCACAGTACAAGTCTAATTACAAGTTTAAACACGTTAACACAGACGACACTGGATGAAACATCTAATTTAATAAAATATAGATTTACAAAGAGGAAACTGAGGTAGCTTGTCTAAATGAGGAGGCCCAACCACCTTCTGTCTTAAATCTTGCCCTGGGTACCGTGAGTGACAGCTGGTTATCAGATTGAAGCGTTCACTGAGGGGTATGAGGGATGAGGAGGTCCGCTATAAGTAAGATGAAGCCTTTCAAGTAATTTTAAAACAGGAAATTCAATTTTAGAATCAATTCTAAAAACCACGAGAAACTGGTGCAATGAGGCGAGTGTGGTGTGATGTGCAGTGGAGCCCAGTCAATAATGAGCTGAGGTAAATTGCAGGATGTTGAGAGTTTGTCCGCTACATCCCTACATGTCTGCAGGGCGCTTACAACAAATACAGCAGGACTTGTGACCAATGCATTGACTGACTGGCTTGTTCCACTGACAGTGTCTGAGCTGAATGCACATCACTGACTAATAGTTGCTGTGAACTGATTCATTAGTCAGAACACTTGGGTTATGTTTAGCGAAGCAAGTATTATAAATGTTTTCCAGACAAAACAGACGTGTGATTTTTTTTTTCCACAGACTCCATCTGGCACTAATGCTGGATTAAAGAGATGAGCCCCATAATCTGAGGGCGACATGACCTCTGTCAACCACCATCACCCACACTCCTTACTGAGCCAAGGTGTAAGTTGCCATCACCACCAGCAGATGGAGACAGTGCACGAACAGGCAGAGCTGGGTGAAAGAAGATGATCAGTGATTGGATCCTGTGTGGAGGTGGGGTTGTTGTTGTTGTTTTAAACTGAGAGTAGTGAAGCAGGAGACCTACTTGTTCTGCCTTGATTAAGATTCATTCATGTGTTGATGAGCCCATGATGAGTGTTAATGTTTTATGTTTCATCAGTGTCTATTAAATAAATAGAAATAGAAAATAAGAGTCATTCTTTGTACCTGCATTGAACGCAGTGTTGTCTTCCATCATTCTCACAGCTGCTTCGACAGCCTCCACTGCAGCCCCCCCTCTTTTCAGCACAGTAAACCCCTCACATGCTGCAGCCTTTACTCCATTAACGGAGGCCTCGGCCAGGTGGTCTGGAATGGCCCACGCCCCGCCGTGCACAACTATGACCGCTGACATCTTTGACTTCCTGCAGGGAAGAGGTGTAGAAGTTGAGGGATGTTCCGCTAAAGCTTATAGCTGAGGAAACATTGGATTATTAATATTTACAGACTCTTCTCTGTGTGTTTAGTTACAGTTTTCCAAGACGTACAATCAACCAACGACCGATCTGGATGAGAGACAGTTTTATCAACTGCAGTTTTCAAGGTCAGTGAACTTTGAAACTCGACTGTATCTGTCGTCTGCAATAAACATCCAACGTTTTCTCAGCACTCTACACTTTCAGTGCAACCAAATGTCTCATTCATACACATATTTTATTTAGTTTTAATCTTACTATTTCCAGCTTCCTTTTTTAAATCAATAGCCTCACAATTTTCTACTCTTTTGTTCATGTTCATTATAATTATCATTAATATTACTGGTATTTGATTTCCATTGAGAGACTTTTTGGCTCTCACAAGCCCATTTTTCACTTTATTGAAAGGAATACACATTTACAAAGCAGGATACGTGTACTATTTATATATATCTATATATATGTCGACGCAAATACACAAAATTAATTTTAAGTTAATAAAACAGTAAGTATTACAAACACGTTGAGGATAGATCTAAAGGAAACTTCTTACATTATTTCAAGAGATATTCCTAGTCTTATTACTTTTTTACCAACAAAACTAAAGTCATTATTATCCTAATTAAAATATAAAAATATTATTATTATTTTATTGATATAATTATTATTAACAATAATACAAGTTTGCAATTAATAATAGTTATTACTATTCTCGCTATTAATTTGAATACTATTATTAGTTTTGCATAATATATTTTTTTTTTATGAGACATTGGTCAGTAGAACATCGTCAGTATTTATATCACGGTAGGTATTTAACAATGGTTCATTCAGCTGTGATCAAACTGACATCTCTTTCTTAATGTGTGTTTGACTCCACTACACTGCAGGACACGTGTGTAACACCACCAGAGTCAAGTGTGTGAACCATCAGTCCTTAAACAGTCGTTTACAGTAAACAGTTTGTTTGCAACATCCTCCAGCTGTTTGAGGCAACACGCAGGTGCAAACATCTGGATCTGTGTCTTACCTTCCCAGATCTTCACACTTGAAACTCTCCGCTGTTCTCCCGTGGTTTTGTGAGACGTGAGTGTTTTAGTTCGACTTCATCGCCTCTAACTTGACTAATGTCAAGTATAATCTGATTCAAGATAAGAGTTCCGGCCAAACGTTTCAAAATAAAACACGTCTCGAACAAATGGGTAAACGTTTTACAGAATAAACATTTTAAGATAAAAGTTCAGCACATCTCTCATTTCACCTCTTCAGAAAAACTAATATCAACACGTTCACAATGGACATCGATTTATAGTTTTATAAAATAACACACACACACACACACACTGTGGTGTCTCTAAACAAACAAACAAATAAACAAACAAACAAATAAAAAGCATAGATGAGGCCTCTAGGTGGCTTATTCTAGTTCACAGGCCAGCTCTGTTCCACATACACTACATTAACCTAGTGGATTTGCATTAGTAGTGTTAGTGGTGTTCATATTGGTCATAGCTGTTTTACAGTTTTATTGGAAAACAGCAGATTGTTCGATTCCTCTGTCCAGCTTGACAGAGGCGGGTGTAATTGGGGCCAAAAAGAGGACAGAGTTAACGGTTGGTTAAGCAATAACAATGGCCCTAGAAACAGCTTCACATAGTTACCACCAGCTTCAAGTTACAGAGAAATGTGTTAGAAGGAATTCTGGTGTTTGTGTTTCAAATCAAAAGATGGTTGAACATGTTAATCATTGATCTCAAACTGGATCTTCACATAGGAAATGTGACAGAAGTGATGAATCCAAGTTTCAGAGTTTAATGGAGCAAACACCATGGACACAGGGAGAACGGCTGTCTTCAGTGATACACAAAGTTACAAATATTAACACAAACAGAAAGCATTGAAGTCCATGCAAACACAAACATCTTAACTGGGCCAATAATTCATGCATACATCAGTAAAATATAGACACAATAGAATTTGATTCTACATCTTCTCACTGAATAATGCAGGTAAACAACAAAAAACCCCACAGCATATTAGGAAAAAATTTAAACAAAAGGCAAGGCAATGTAAATAAAGTAAATATGCTATTTGTATTAAAATATAATAATATACTATTATATATATAGTAATGCTAATTTAAAATACTTTAAAAAAAAAAGGAAGGGTGAACAATTTTGATGCTTACAAAAATTAAAGGAAGACACAAATAGAAGGAATAAACAAAACATTCTTATTGAAGCAGTTAGAACACACTATAAATCATCTGCAAATTTAAGAAAACCTAAGCCAAGTTACCATAGAAATCAGAGGTTTTGAAAGGCTTCTCCATTAGTGGTCGTGGAATTTGTAATGTTGCAGTTTGACCAATAGAGAGCAGTAAGAATCCATTAAATCTTGGTTGAAAACTAAATGGTGTCAGTGCTGATAGAGTTTTAGTCAAAAGAGAAGTGTTGATAACTGTTTCTTCAACCAAAATAACATGCAACAGTCTAATAAACATCTTCTCTCTGCAAAGAAAAACATCAAACTCTCTTCCTCTTTCATGTTTGTTTCTCTTCCCTATAATCTCACGGGTCAAGGAAGACGTTCTGAATCTTGATCTCTGTTTTTATTCTGTCTGTTTTCATCCAAAGATACAACCATACTTTGAGATTGATTCTGATGAAACCACATACACAGTCACACTCATATTAACCATTGTCACCACTGCAACAGCAGCAAGATTATTAATCATTTCACTAAATGAAATGACACAAGTCAAGGTCCAGCAAGCTTGAAACACAAAGACACGGGCGTAGTAGTTTTGTCAAGCAGAAAAAAAAATGTGTCTCTTCTTAACAGATGGTGATTTATCATTACTTTAAAGAAAAGAGAAGGAAAGAAGACATGTAAATGTGACGTTATAATCAATATTCTCCAACTATCCAAAAAGATTTAGAAAAAAAAAGTTGGTTCATAAGATATTGATGTTTTTTTAAAAGCATTTCAAACAAACCCATGTGGTTGTTCAGTCTCCAAAACAAACCATCAACAGTAAATACATGTTTAATGCCTTTATATAATCATGTTTAATACTCAGGATGCTAAAGGTGAACTGAGAGAAATCATTTTAAATGTAAAGTAATGATTAATGGCAACATTAACCCACAGTTTCTACTATAAGATATTAAATAATAACATTTATTTACACATCCACAGATTTTGAGATTATACAGTTTGTTTCATTAATATTAAGGTTGTGTAAAGCTCTAATGTTAAGATCACTTCTAAAAGAAGAATATGCAATTTCACAGACAAATATTGTGGTGTCTCTCCTCACTGTTCAATGACAAGATTCGCCCAACCCTATATATGTCTCTTTTTAAAGGAAAAAGAAGTTAACATCAGTGTTCGTGGTCCCAGCACAGTCTTTGTTATTCTGATCAGAGTGGTCACAATCATCTCTAAAGGTCAAGTAGAGCTGGAGTTTGGTCATCCACCAGCTTCCTCTGCTCAAAAACTAATTTGTGAGTAAGTACAGCAGCCAGCATCCTGCGCTGCAGATGACTTTCAGATTCAGATCAATATCATGGCTAAAAGGGACATGAGAGGCATTTTGTATTAAATTCAAACATTCATGCTTCCATCGCTGACACCCCCAAAGATGCACCGTGACGAGCTAATAAAGAATTCAAATTAGAAAACTTCTGTAAGGTGGTGTAATGTCATGGACTCTTCCCAGACAGAAAAAGCTCTCCTTTGCTTTTTGAGTCACAATTCAAAAGAGAAAATGAAAATCATTATGCTGGGATTGCAGCTTTGATATTTTACAAGCTAACAAATATAAACTGTGAAACATCTTCTCTTGGGCTCATGAGTGTTCTGAAATAGGTTGTAAATTAATTTTATACTTTATTTTACATAATTGTACATCCCTTTGGTCAACTGCAGTTGATTTTAAATGTGCTATATAAATAAACATGACTTTACGTATTGTATCAATGGACATTGTAAAAGTACAGTATTTGCATTACTGTGAAAATAAAGCAGATTACAGTATGGCTCATTTAAAACCATGACTGTGAATATAATTTTTTAAATTGAGATATAAACGGTCGTATATTAGGATGTGATTACATCTAAATAAGTAACAGTGTCAGAAAACAAAAACAAACTTGTCATTGTCAAATACTTAGATATTAGCTAAAGTCAAACAGGAAAAAAAACACGAGAGCATTGATATATTGCTAGACGGGTAGAATTTTGCAGAGTTTTTTGGTAAGATGCCAAACAGTGATTAAACCATAACAAGACAAATATTCATTCTGACTTGATTAACAAAGAGCAGAGCATTGTTGGAGTAGATCAGAGGCTGTGAGGACAGACTGATGGGAGCCCATAGTATAACCCAATTCTGTTTATTCTTTTCGCTTTCATTAATTATAAATGTGATGGAAAAAATCATAGGTTGAACAAAAGTGCCTGTTCACCACATCAGGAGAAATCTGAGTCATGCAGGTGGTGTCCAGCACCATGGACAGCGACACAGAGGCCATAACTGTGATTTTCTCCCTGAGGCGAAAAAAGGCACTGGTCACAAAGAGCATTTGTTCAGTTTGAAGAAAAATAACAACAAGCTGCTCTGTGGACAACTTTGGAAACTCACTGAAGAAAGTAATTGGATAAGATATGTTTCCTGTTGATAAGGTATTATCTCCCGGTAGTATGGCATCACTGATTCAACCATAATTGATCTTTGCCATATCAAAGTCAGTCGTTATTTAAGGTGACATGATTGCGTTTCGAAATCCCCTGACTCAAAATTTATTATATGTTACAATATGATCTCATAAGGATTTAGGTACTTAGAGCTGGCCCTCCCCATTAGCCAAATAAGCGTGGCCCCCCCGACAGATGTATACAAATCCGGACAGATGTATACAAAAGCATCTGTCTATCCACTGAGTCAGGGCCCCCCAAAAACTCCGGACCCCAAAACGCACAGAACCGGCTCTGCTGGTACTGAAGCCACACAGCCTTTTGCACTGTTGCACAGTTTTCTCAAATCCATATTGGAGTTTCTTGCTTCTATTTTCAGCATAAAACTTTCAAACAAAGCAACTGAATCTATTGAAGTGAGATTATTGCAGGGACCATGTATGAGCCCCGAATAAATGCAACGTCAACTCTTTTTTTTCTTTTTCATTCAGTCCCTCACAGCAGAATTATTATGCGCTCAGCGGGGACCGTCTTTGTTTTTCCAGCGGCGCCACGGTGCCAGAATGTGGCCAATAAAGTGGCTGAGGGGCGGGGAGGAGGAGCGGCAGCAGCGCGGTGTGCAGACCCACTGAGGGTGGCGGGGTGCTGAGGAGAGGACGGAGAAGCAGCAGCAGCAGCAGAGATGGACGCACACCTCTGAAGCACAACGCACCCTCCTGTCAAGCATCACGGACTAGTTGGCTTTCCTGGGTTTTTTTTGCGCTTGGTGCCCAGGTGGAGTGGAGCCACCAGAACGCACGAGCGGGGAAGGTTTTTAGTTTCATTCCGACGCTCATCCAGTCCAGTCCCGCACAGTCTCTCACCTGCACGGCCGGTGAGGAGCTCCGCTGTCACAGTCATGCATCCAAATAAGTGCTTACCTGAACTGGTGGCGGAGAAAAACACCCTGGACCCCTCTTTTGTGCACGCGTTGCGTCTGCTTGCAGAAGGTAAGTCAGGTTATTTGTTATGCTCTCAACCTTGTTCAACAGTGGCATTCACCTTGTTCTCTGCAACTGAAAACCCCCTTGCATTTATATTTCTGGGGAAAAGTCCAGTGACCTGATGTGGGTTTATATTTAACACATGGCTCCTAATGCTGTGGCAGTGGATTCACTGTGGCTGTGCGTCTCGATTTGGACACTGCCCTTTGGCTCCTTGTGCAGAACTTTTTTTAAAGGTTTTTCCAAAGGTGGAGAATTGCAATGAGCACAGAAAGTAAAGTGTAGAGTCATCACCTTTTATTCTAACCTCCAAGGTCAAGCACCAGCACAACACAGCCCAAAAATAATAACCCAAGAGTGTCCACAGAGCAGTTCTCAATATAGAGCTGCAAATAGTGAATGTTACCTGGATGTTTGACTCGTTTTAAAGGCTGTTGTTAACCCTGTTCAGCATAGACTTATTTAGTATTAAATTGTGTGCTTTAATAATTTCTTTATCAGACTAAAACAAGCTGCACAAACTTGACATTCTCAAGTTTTTTTTGCAAAAAAGACATGAACCACATAAAGCAAATATCAGCATTGGTCTAATATTTCTAAGAAATCTATCTGTACATAAATATTTAAGATTGTTCAGTTCATGGGTGGAGGTCCAAGTTTTTGTGTTGACTCAAAAGAGAGAGAGTCTCAAATGAGTGAAGATGTTACAGAGCACATCAACAAAGTAACAATATTTACAACATGAGAACATACTCGTGTGTACAGCAGGAAAGAGACCCACTGTTGATGTGACAGACAGACTGTATAGTGCATCCTGAAATTTAAGTGCCAGTATCACTGTTATCATTGTTCATAAACATTTTAGGTGAATGTAGTGTAGCATGACTCATCGTCTCTTATCACCAACGCTGTCGTCAAGGTCACAGCAGGGACTCAAAAGTGCCACTGAGACAGATGTTCGACCGTCTCTCCTCTGACACCGTGTCACAGTTTGTCCAACAGAGCCGTATAATCAAGTTCAGCCTGCAGCATGTAAAGTACTTTCTCCACGCCGCAGATGAATCCGTAATTTCATTCACACATCGAGACTGTGTCACTTTTGATAGGCGAGAAAACTTATCACGGCAAAGCAAACACAAGGACTCGGCTCAGCTCAAGCGGAATTAGAATCAGAGTCAGATGTGTTGGCACAAGTGCGTTCGCTCACACGGGGGAATTTGGTTCCTGCAGTTGCTGAGTCTCGAACAATGTGCAAAACAAAGTACCTCCTGTTTACAGACAATATAAAAGCAAGGTACAGATCATATAAAAGGCAAAATACATGCTGTATATTAAGTGCAAGTGTGTGATAGTGCAAACAAGACTTGTGTGCAGCATGTGGGGGTAAAAAAGTAATGCAGGTGTACTGAAAGAAACAGGAGTATCTATGGTACAGTAGATGATACCGGTCAGCTGTTGATGAGCGTGATGGGGAAAGTCACTCCTTTTGTGTCTGGTAGTTGTAGTTTACACGGTTCTGTTGTGCCTGCAGGGATCTGTAACACATTTCTCATCGGTTTTCCTGGTTCCTGGGCAGAGGGGGCAGAACCCCCCCCCCCGCTGTCCTCACTGTTCGCTGCAGTCTCGCTCCTATCCTGTTTTGTGGCTGCTCCCAACCAGACCGTGATGGATGTGCCCAGCACGCATCCACTGACTGCAGCGTAGAACTCGCTCAACAGCTCCCGTGGCAGACAATACTTCCTCAGTTGCGGCAGAAAGTACATCCTCTGCTGTGCACTTCAGTTGATGTAGGTGATGCCGGTTGGTATCCCGCCTCTGGTCTTGGGGAAAATGGTAGTTCCCAGAAGCTTGATGGGTTGAAACAGAGCGGCGAGGGGGAGCAGTGTCTCCAAAATTCTGCTGTCGGTTTCACAGTGTTGAAAATGTGTTCGGCTCCACTTGTTTGACTGCACCTGAGCACCAGGACTACAACTTTCTGCCCATACGCTGACTTGTCACCATCTCGTATGAGTCCAGTGAGCAGTAGTGTGGTCTGCAAACTTTACAAGTTTGACAGCTGGGTCTTTGGAGGTGCAGTCTTTGCTCTATAGTTAGAAGAGCAGTGGGGAGACGACGCAACAACAAAACAATACGAGATGTGATAAACGGCCGACAATAATGATAATATCAATAACATCACAATACAGTGATTCTGCAATAATAATGTTGTAAGACAATCATATAACAATACATTTAACTGAAGAATACAAAGTAGCCCTAAAGATGTACAGTGCAGGATTTGTGTGTTTATATGACATGTATAAAAAAAGTGCATAAAAGTATAAAACTCAATAAGTAAATCTCGATATTTGGTGGCAGTGTATCAAGGATCGTATCTCGTGAGGCGGGATGAGGATGTCCATATACTAGAAGCTTGAAGGTGTAGGTGGTCTCCTGTAGTTTGCGATGTGTTACAGGGTCATTGGCTGGAATCTGGAGCCTACAGGTGTAGTGTTTGTAACATTTCCTTCTCTCCATTGTGAATATAGATGTGCTCCCTCTGGTAGGCAGGAGTGCCATCCCAAAAATAACTTAAGGTTTGAGTGATGTGTTGTGGAATCACTATTTTTACGCTACTTACACGGGAAAACTGCAGTAAAGCAAGGAAAACACCTGGCTTATATTCCTGTAGGAACACGTACTGCGGTGTATCAGCTGTAAAATGTCTACACTCACCCGTACTACTGACGTTACGAGTCTTAACACACATCTGTCTGGACGTGGTTGTTGAGAGAGTTATAGAGTCGAACTCCATGTCAGATTAATATGCTGATTAACGTGACAGCGCTCTGGTGCCTCTGCTCCTTGAGCTCCCCTGTTGAAATGTGTCGATGAGACACGTGACAGCGACGCTCTTGTCGCGAACTGTGATCCAGATGGTTTCACACAGCCAGGACACAAAGGAAAATCACGGTCGTTATTGTATTTGTGAACAGCAGTTAGCATGTTTATATGGTATAGATATTGATTTTATTCAGAAGAATTCTATATAACTTACTGAATTATCTTTCACTAACGGATACACATGTACTCAACACAGTGCAGTTCAGTCTTCAAGTAAGTACAACACTATAAACGCAAATACAACACACTAATACATTTCAATAGATTTGCGAGCATTTCAATGCGATTGAATCATGTTTGCGAGGTCAACAAAGAAAAGTGCATTCATCGTTCACAATAGTGAACAATTACTGTGATAAACTGTCGGCTCGGTCAGAAGCAGCGTCGGCTCGGACAATGTTCAACACCATCAGCTGTGGGCAGCATCTGAAATAATCGTCATAATTTCTACCACTTTCACACAGTTTCTATCATCTCATGTCAGTCTGCGCTCATGTTTTATACTGATTCATGCAAATCAGTGGACGGCAAGATAAACTGCGCTCACAGATTTATAGATCCACAGCTATTTGTCACTGAATAGCGGAGCAAGTAATCCTGCATTATTCACATCATGCACGTTAACCAGCATGACACGGATTTACCACAGCCTCAGTTAACGGCTCCGAATTTATGGAATGAATTTGTTGTTTGTTTAAGTTATCGTTGCCTTTAAAGTTGTTGTTCTTTCTTCGAGCGGAGTTAAGCTCCTTCAGTGGGTGGGTGAGGCAGATTCTCGGGGATTGGAGTGTGGTCGTCTTGTTTGCTTTGACAGTGAAACAGTGAAATAATGTTTTTAAGCCCATTCCCCTCAACACCCTTCTTTAAAATCACATAAACTCACCTGTAACAACTCATTTCAGCGTATTCGCAATGATTACTCAGATTGACACACAAAGGTCAATGTTTCCATGTGTTGAGCTTTAATTTGCGGCCGACTAAAGAGCTGCACCGTTGTTTTAAAAGTGGGTTCAAGTTAGACACAAGAAGGGAACGATTTAATAGATCCCAGCGGGTTTCTTTGCAATACTTACAATACCTACATGCCACGTAATTCAGTCCTGCCATGAAAACTAATGGGATTCCTAATAAGCAAAGCAGACAGACACACAGAGGAGGGTGTGCACACATGTCTGATGGATGGGTAGAGGAATATTGGTTGATGAGAAAAACGAAGGCAAGTGTGTGCAGCTGCATGTTACCATTTTTAGATTAAAGGTGACATTTCCACACATTATTATTTTTATTTTATTTATTTTTTCACAAGCACAAGATCTATTTTATATCGTTGCTAAGCATTACTAAGCTCAAATGCAGTCACAAGTGCTGCCAGGCGAAGCGGCAGTACAACAAATCTTCATGAGATCTGAAGGACGTAAGCTTCTCTGAATAAAAGATGCGCATGTACTGTTTATGGAGGAGGACCAAGACTCACGTAAAGTAAAACGTAAGAGAGAAGAACATGAGAAGCCCCTCACATCTAATAAGTTTACTGGTGTTCTCACTTTCAATGATGTTGTCAGTTTAATGTCTTTAAGCATCAGTGGGTATAAGATATTTGAACGGCAGGTTTTTGATGTGATACACCGCACCGTGCGAGTGCAACACATCCTTTAATCTTTTATAAAATCTGGGTTTTGTTTCATGTTTTCCTTGCGTTTAGCCTTTCTCCAAACTGTCAGAGCTAAAAATTCTCTCTTAAGCAGCCAGCTGCACTTTTCTGTCGTTCTCACAACAACTCTTACGCAAAAGAGGAAATGTTCTGAAAAAAGAGACGAAATATTAAGTAGTTAATCACAGTATAAGTCGGTTTCTGTTTAAGTAAATGGTAAATGCTCTGTATTTATGTGGCACTATACTTGATGACCACTCAAAATACTTCACAGTACAGTTTTGCCATTCTCCCATTTACACACACATTCGTACCCTTTCTCTATCACACATCACTCACACACGCGGAATAGGGGAGACTGGGATCAAACCACTGACCCTCTGGTAAGTGGTTAACCCGCTCTACCCCCAGAGTCACAGCCACCTGATTAGTAATGGCTAAAGCCTCATGCTTCTGCGTCAAAGCTATGCCG